TAACGCTAAGATTTGCCGTTACTGGAACAGTTCATTGGAAGTATCTTTCTTGCAAAGAAAATGACATCACACCTTCATTCAGAACTAATTGGAACCCTCCTGGCGTCCTCAGCAGAAGAATGGGACTCAAGGACTCAATGGACATGGAAACTAAGATACCTTCTTACTCCTAAGGTGGCGTCTCACCTTAAAGACCCAGGATGGGGCAGTGTATGCAGCTTGCACTGCTGGTTTGTCTTGTGGATAAATAGGAGACTCCACTTTCTGGGCACGTACTGTAACCAGCGCTAGATCTACAAACACTGGGATAGATTCACTCCCCAGAAGATCCCTTGGCAGCAGAATTAGGATGTAGTAGTAAGGTGAAGTGGTGGCTTCACTAGTGGGTGAAGCTGCCTGGCCCAGTCTCCCACTATGGGAGGAGGCAAAGCAAGGTTGATTCAGCCTTTTTCCTGGGAAGTCTCTGCTGATGGGGCTCCTATAACGTCTCAGCGAAATTGAACGCTGCCCTCCCCCATGCAGCCCTGGCCTACACAGTTGGCCCAGAAAGCAGGGATACTACCCTTATGTCCCCGGAGGGGTGAATCTATGTCACTGTTTTAAATGGTAAGAAGTCCATTTTGCTGTGAATCATGCATGTTTGGGGCATGTATTGTTGTTTGATTCCTAAACCTACAGGCTGGCCTGGGTGCATGAAATGAACAAAAACCACATAGGCCAAGAAAATGTTGGGAAGAAAATGTTCATGGTTGGAGCAAAGATGGGCTCCAGCCACAAATCTAAGATCCAGATCTGAACTACTCCAATGACCTGGTGTATTTGGCCTTGAAGTTTTGGTTCAAGGGGAAAGATTTCTCTTATTTAGGGGGAAAGATTTTCTCAGTGTTCATAAAACACGCATTAAACTGGGAAAAATGTGTCACCTTAATGCACTTTTTAAAAAGCAGTTTCCATTTTACCAAGCATGTTATTTTACAGCAAACTTCAAATGACCATACACCTGCCATGAGTCTGACCACCAAAACCATAAAAGCTATGATGCATTTTTAACAGGACACTATATATATATATTGTTTTACAGTAAACGGATTTTGTTTCCTGTATACTTCTTGTCATATCTTAAGTTCAGTCTGTGTTATTAGTGTTTTCTCCCAGACAAGGAGTGAGTGCTATAGCTTTGTCCACTGTTTCCTGGATGGCTGCATTAATTTGATTGACTCAAGATCTATGGTGACTTCTAAAGAAGATTAAATTACACACTCCCTCTTGCCCATGTGCTGCTTGAGCTTACGTCCAGCAATTTCTCAAAGAGAAGCAATTAGGTGACTACAAATTTAATAAACCCTAATTATTTTGTTTGTACAAACAATAAAGCCAAAATTATTTGTGCAACAAGGAACTGTAATTACTTTGGGGAAAAAAAATCAGACAATGCTACCTAGCCTCAGAAACAACCAGCTTTGGATTTCGTATTTATTCTAAAAATGCTCATGGAATATTTTCAGTTGGCTAGGAGCCAACCTTCAAAGGTTACATGTGGTAGGTGCACTACAGACACATATACATACATGTTACCCCATCACGGGCACCTGCCAAAAACTCACAGCAGCTGATACAATTTCCTGCAAATGTTTTTTTTTTGGTTGGTCTATAAGATATCACTCTTTATGGGATAATGATCTCTTTGTGTTCATCTCGGGGGAAGGTCTAGCGAGGGGCATGTCCTCAGTAGACAAGAAGAATGAGAGAGGGAGTGAGTAGAAAAAAGCACATTAATATAAATGGAAGAGGCTCTGACATTGACAACATTCAGCCATGCAATGGAATGGAGGCAGAACGACATGGAATGAGACTGGCAGCATCTGTGCCCCTCTATACCCCCACCCCAAACTATTAAAACATGGAAGATGAAATGAGAATCACCAGGAACTCAACTCAGCACCTGATATTCTGCCCCTGCTGCTGCTTCTATAAGGCTTCTATAAAGAGGGATGTCACAAATCATCCAAGCCGAAATTCACCCCCTGAGCAGAGGATCAGCACATGGCCTAGGCACCATTCAAGTCCCCCAAACAGGGGTCTGCTCCTACTGCACACATACTGAGGGGAGTGGATTTTACAAGTTATGAGGTGATGCAGCCCCTTCCCACGAGTGGTGCAGTATTTCAGGTACAAGTTAATTAACTCAGGACATTATTAGTCATTCACCCAGAGAATTTTCATTTACTGCAGTTTTGAAGGATACAACCAACATAAAATGTATATTTAAAAAAATCCTTCACTCAGCTACTGACACCACCATAGATCATTTAACCTGAATTTTAAAAAGCAACTACAAATATTTTAAAACTCTCATTTGCAGCTCCCTATTTATACTTTTTGTCCTTCTCCCAGCTCGGATAGCACTGAGACCAGACTGGTCAATGTCACTTTCTAATTCTCGTGAGCTAGACCACATGCTGTTATGTCAGGGGATGTTTAACTCATAGATGTATTTCTGGTCATAACGGACCCAGTTCTGCTTTCAGTGGCAGCAATATGAATCCGGGATAACTCCATTGAGGTCCATGGACCGTCACTGGTGTAAGGTGGGTGTAAATGACAGCAGCATCTGGATCATTAGCATTTCTAAATCACCTGGTACCTAGAAACGCCTGACAATGTTCTTTTAGGTGCAAAGGGAACTACTGTATTCTCGCCCACAGAGCGTTCTGGTTCTTTTTCTGAATTTCTTTGTCTCTCTCCCTTTGCACTGGGTAGTTGTTCAGAAGTCAGGGAAGGGCTTCAGTGCTTCTCGGCAGGGATGATTTGCCTAGTGTGGGCCTAACCGATACTAACCTGCCAATATTTCATGCAGGTATCATCGGACATTACCACTGCACATACTAGTACTTCACCAGGATATGAACTGGGTAGGGCTTTACCGCATATTTTGTACACCTGGGGAATAGCTTTGCTGCACTGGGAAGCCTTGGCATGGGGAGGATTTAGGGAGGACAAGATCCGCATGTGCATAACAAGGAGACTTAATGCCAGGTGTGAGTGTTTAGCATCCCTTAACAGGAATGGGATGTGGTTCTCAGAGGGAGAGATCAAGAGTTATTTGTGTGGTGATATAATCACAAAACTCATTATTCATTCATTTAACTTTGCATTGTCTAAATAAAGTCTCAATCTGTACCATCTAATAACAAGGCAGATGAGATGATGTAAAGTGGGAACCAACTTTATTTATGAACCAAGCAAATGCTGGTAGAGATAAAAGGCTTGATTCAATCCCATTAAGGGCAATGGGAAGACTCAAGATCGGGCCCCAAAAGAAGAACTGCGCCTTAACTTTAATCAAAAGCTGGTGTTTTCTTCTTTTCTTTCAAGCCTATCCATTTTTGTCTCTTCTACTGTCTCTGCTCTTTGTTGTTTCAGCCTTTTATGTGAGTCCCAAGAGAAATTCCTTCACAGAATGCTGCACAGAATCAGGGCTTAGTCTAATAGCTTTAGGCAAATTACCTTACTTTACCTACAATTTTTCACTTGAAGGGACATGGACTGGATGAGCTAAATTAAAATTCCAAAATGTGAATTAGGAACCTGTGACACACTGTACCCCACAGTAGCACCCAGTAATCCCCATATTCATCATTCATATATGGGTGTGTTGTATGGGTGTTCATACAAAGCGTGCCATGTAAGATATCTGCTGAGACCCATTGTTCTGTCAAAATATGTATATCGTTAGTGTGTATGAAATTATGAGATTTTGTTATATGGTTGTTATTGAAATATGTCATGAGTTTGGGAGTCGCCCACTGATAGTTCTCCAGTAACAACAAAAGAGCTGACCAACACCCAGGCCAGCCTTAAACAACCATTAATTAGTAGGGGACATATAAACAAGGGATTTACAATTCTGTAAGAGAGTTGTGCAAGCACCACACAATGTGATTCAGTTACACAAGACCACACTAGGGGGACTGCTCAATTCTGGGACTCCGCAAAGACCTCCAGGCTAGTGTTGACTTCCAATGAGATTTAGGCTCCTAAGGGCTAAATCTACAAAGGGGACTTAGGCTCAGCATTGCAGTGCATAACGTTTAGGCATCCTGCTGCCTAATGGAATCCACGGCACTGAGTTAGGTGCCCAGACTCCCCATATAATGCACAGGGACAGAGAGGCACCTAAGAACAGGATTCATAAAAGCCAGCATACACCGAGGGGAGAGCTACCTAACACAGCCAATAGGGAATGCTGAGGAGAGGACGTAAGCTCCTAAGTTATTAGGTACTTTCAAAAATGTTCACCCTCATCTACACAGGAGATGGACAGACATCCAGTTCCTACGCTTCTGTGACGGTAGGATAGTCCAAGGAAAATACTCTGAGAGTAGAAGGAATTTAATTCCCTTAAAAAGGAAACGGCTTCTCCTTTTTAAACTTGGGGTATGTCTACACCAGTGTTTCTCAAAACTCTTTACCACTGTGGGCCGCATAGGCCGTTCTCCTCTATGTGTTATGTGGGACACATCCACACAATATATGTACTACCTGTATGGCCCTGAGGATGTCATGTGGGCCGCAGCTGTGTGCTAATTGGGCCGCAAGCGGCCCGCGGGTTAAAAACCACTGGTCTACACTATAGCTGCTACAGCAGCTCAGCTAGAGCATTGCATCTGTGTCGCTTACAACCGAAGTGTAGCCTGTACCAACTGAATGGCTTTTTCTGCTGAAGTAGTTAACCTAACTCTCCAACAGGCGGTAGGTAGGTCAACGCAAGAATTCTTCCATCGACTGAGCCCTGAACAACGTAGCTAGGTTGATCTAATTTTTAAATGTACACCAGGCCTTGTGGACGAGCAGTTTCCTTATTAAGGTACTTTACATAGACACTTACCCTAATGCAACCAACTCTTTTCAAGAACCTTAAAAAAATCTCATTTAGAAGTAATTACCTGTGAAACTTCTAATCTAACATTTCTGAGTTTAATGATTGGAAAATATTGTACCTTTCTGAATCCATCGGGTTCTTCCAAAGATCTAGGAGTCTGTTAAAAAAAAAATAATGAAAAAAATAAACACAAACACAAAATACCATGAACCTGAGATCCCAGTGGAACCTATAACGGAATATTCATTTCACAGGGGGAACGTTTCTTTCAAATTTCTGGTCATCTGGATAGGCTGAAACAGCAGGTGACTGGTGTTTAATAAGCTTTTAAATGCACATCAGGAATAAAGCCCAAATGGATTTTGTTTCCTAACAATGTAAGTCAGATACAGTGTTACCTAAGAAATAGCTTTGATTTTACTGACACCTATTGACTAAATGTATTCTTACACAAGGTACTTAGGCAAAAAATGTACCACACAATAACTCTGATTTTACAGTATTTCTGATTAACAGAGACTGCTCTTCACCTCCACTGCAAATCAAAGGATTTGTGTTCTAAATAAATACTTTCAATTTGAAATTCATTGACAGCTTCTTTGAAAACTAGCGGAGAAGGACAAAAATTACAGATTTTCTCCCACACCTTACATCCAAGATGCACATTCGATGAAGTGGGTTTTAGCCCACGAAAGCTTATACTCAAATACATTTGTTAGTCTCTAAGGTGCCACAAGTACTCCTCGTTCTTTTTGCTGATACAGACTAACACGGCTACCACTCTGAAATCTAAATATTGAGTCATTTTAGGTGGATCTTTTTTCAGGTGCTCAAGTTACAATACTTTAAAGAGGATTTATTGCCGAAAGTGCCAGGTACCCACAATCTGAAAACCAGGCCTCAAAGTTTGGCACCCAGAATCACTAGTCACTTCGGAAAATCAGGACTTAACTATGCAAATTTATGCTAAAACTAACTGCAAATATCTTTATCATTATTTGCAATAAACCACTACCCCGATATAACGCGACCCGATAGAACACGAATTCGGCTATAACGCGGTAAAGCAGCGCTCCAGGGGGGCGGGGCTGCGCGCTCCGGCAGATCAAAGCAAGTTCGATATAATGCAGTTTCACCTATAATGCGGTAAGATTTTTTGGCTCCCGAGGACAGCGTTATATCGGGGTAGAGGTGTATTTGTTACTGGATAAACTCCACCTTCTTTACAGTGCTTTCATATACAACTCTCTGATATAAAGCTTTATGTTTACCCAGACCTATACTTTGGTCCTCACATTAAAATCCATTACAATTGTCTATGACATCAGCTCTTTATACCATTCCAAATGCTTAGCCCATGAAGTGAATGTTATAAAGAATCTGGCTCCTTCTGTAGTTTCTTTCTGAAACAATCTATTCTGTTCTTGACTATACTGATCACAATGGCTCACAGAGCACCACAGAACAAAAGACAATTATACAAATAGAGTTCTGTGGACATATAACCTTGTTCCAGTAATTGTGCAAAAGAACATTCTGTGGGGGAGAGAAGGAAGCCCCTGATTGAGATTGCCTCATTACATGTCTTTGAGAAAGTAAGTTATATATTACACACACACACCAACTCCGAGTTAGGGATTGGTCCTGCTTTGAGCAGGGGGTTGGACTAGATGACCTCCTGAGGTCCCTTCCAATCCTGGCATTCTATGATACATGGTATGAGGACCCAGGGACTAGAACCCAGGTCTGTAGAATGTAGGAAAGTTGATATTCCCACAGTACCACTAGGAGGCCATATAGAGGCATAGCCACTTAGCACTGTGGAGAGTAGGTGCCACAGGAAATACAACCCAAGAGACTCAGACTGATAGTACCCTGCAGCCTCTGTTTGGCCAAGTGCCCCTACTTAACCCCAGTGGTTGCCCCAGGAAGTTGTCTGAGCAACTACACAGATTTCAGTCTGCTGCAATGCCAGACTTCGCCTCTACTCCTGATATCTGATCTCTGACTCCAGCTGACTTCAACCCTGATTCTTGCCTCTCAGTTCTAACCTGGTTCTGCCTCTGATCTCCAGTCTCCGACCCTGGCCTGACTGATCTTGGCACTTGTTTATGAGACCTAGCCTTGCGATTCCTCCAACTCCAGCCCAGCAACTCCTGTCCCTGGTGGACAGACCTCAGCCCTGCTGAGACCACTAGGCAAGACCATCTACACCTCAGTCCCTCACATGATATCATGTTAGATGATATCACTATTGGGCCAAATCTGAAGTCTTTACTCAAGCAAAAGTAACAAGCATTGCTTGTGTGGAGACAAAGAGGCCACAGGATTTCTAACTGAATATTGAAAGTGTGTGTATATATAAATATATTCAATTGACTTCAATGGGATTACCTATATGCTTAAAGTTAAGCATATGTTTATGTCCTTGCTGGATTGGGACCATATTTGTCAAAAAGCAGTGGTTACTTAAAAGAATCATGGAAAAGTACTACAGTGTCTTTAATACTAACAACTCTGATACCTGTTCACCTACCAATGAGCTGCTGGAGTCTTTGAGTTTAGATTTGTAGAGCATCCATTGATAACGCAGGTCCTCCACATCTTCAGAGGTCCCAACAACTGTCTGAAGACTACGGAGATCTTCGAAAAGACGTTGCCCCTCAGGAACACGAGACTGCAGCTCCTTCAGGGAAAGACAAGCTCATCAGCAACATGGCATTTAAAGGAATCACTGCCTTGCCAACACAAGAGATTTCGTCATTTTAAAGGACATTAGCATTGCATCCAGTTGGTGGGAACTCTGCATTTACGTTTATGCATTTATTTTTATTTTGCTATCACATATTCATCTAGATGGTCTACAGCTGCAGGATTTCTCTACATTGAGGATTTTTATTGTTAGGTTTGCTCTAATAGTTGTAATTGTTGGTGGATTTTATTGCATTGGTTATAAGTATTAAAATGCTGAGGATAAAAAATAAAAGACAGATTTTAGCCAGAAATGTTAGAATATCTGTGCCAAACAAGGCTGTTTGTGACATGGGAAAATGTCTTACGCTAATGCTGTAGTGTGACTCTGCACTTTTCATTGCAGCATGGGGGCTCTTACAGATCTCCCCTCAAAGAGTGGAATATTTGTGGAAAACTCCAATGCTTCCCAGGACACCCACCTCTCCTGTGAGTTTTATAGAAGGGAGATGTGATATGGCCCTGGATGCTGATTTTAGCTTTTAAATAATTTGGAAAGGCTCCTGGCCACATTTCAGCCTCTGTACTGTGGAGGAGGATGAAAGTCTTGGGAAAGAAGAACATCAAGCTGGAATGGAGGGAAAAGATACCATAGTTGGGACCCTCCTTCCAGATGATATCATGGTATCCTCTTGCACTGAGGATACCCCTACGGGAGAGGGAATCCCAGTTATAAGACACAAACAGATAATAGTAACCAGGGATTCAGCTATTAGAAATATATATGCCGTATATACTCGATCATAAGCTGGTTCGTTTATAAGCCGACCCCCCCCCAAGATGGATAAGTAAAAATGGAAATTTTTTATAACCCATTCATAAGCCGACCCTATAATTCAGGGGTCAGCAAACTTTGGCTCCCGGGCCATCAGGATAAGCCGCTGGGGGGCCGAGATGGTTTACCTTGAGCGTCCACAGGCACAGAGGTAAACCTAAGTAAACAACGTGTCCCGGCCTTCCAGCGGCTTACCCTGACGGGCTGGGACAGCAACTGGTGGGGACATTTTTTTGGGGGGGGAGAAGCGGGGAGTCAGAGGAGTAACCCCTGTGACCACCCCCCACATGACCCCACCCCTAGCCCGGGACCCCCACACTCTCCCCATCCCATCCCTTCCCATCTTATCTGGGGAGGGCCAGGGGAGGATGTCTCTGGCCTGGCTGGAGCTGCTCCGGCAGGCTGGGCAGCCTGCTCCGATGGGCCAGACTGGGTGGCGCAGCCGCAGCATGTTCCAGCGGGCTGGGCTGGACAGCACGGCCACAGCATGCTCCGGCGGCGTGGCCACAGCCTGCTCTGGGGGGCGGGGCCGAGAGACAGGGCTGCAGTCTGACAGCCCGGAGCTGCAGCTGCTTTGGAGGCTGGGGGGAGAGAGGCGTGGCCAGAAGCGGAGAGACTCTGGCCCCGCCCTTCCCTTCTGTCTCTGCTGGCTGTGCTGCCTCTCCTTGCTCCCTCTGTTGGGGGGAGGGGCTGTGTCCCACCTCTCCCTCTCTATACCCGTTCATAAGCCGACCCCCTTCTCTGGTGCTTCCCTTTTTTACTAAAAAATTTCAGCTTATGAATGAGTATATACGGTAGTTGGTTTGTGATGACCAGGAGAGCCACATGGTGAATTGCCTGGAAGGTACAAAGCTTGTGAACCTCTCGAGACATCTAGATAGACATGAGTTCAGTGCTGGGGAGAAGGGGTGGTTGTGGTATATGTAAGTACCAGTGACATAGGGAAACGTAATAGAGAGGTCCTCGAGGCCAAATTTAGGCTGCTAGGTAAGAAATTAAAGTCCAGGACCTCCATGTAGCATTCTCTGAAATGCTTCCAGTTCCACAGGCAAAACTGCACAGTCTCAATGTATGGATGAGATGATGGTGTTGGGAGAAGCAATTTAGGAACTGGGGAATCTTTTGGAAAAGGAGGAGCCTATACAGGAAGGATGGGCTCCACCTAAACCAAAACGGAACTAGATTGTTGGCATGTAAAATTAAAAAGGTCATAGAGAAGTTTTTAAACTAAGAGATAGTGGACAGCTGACAGCTGTGGAGGAGCACACAGTTCAGACAGAGGATAGGTAATACATTCCTTAGCAGAGGATTGATTAAAGAGCATACCTCTATGTCCTAGTAAAGAGGAGAGGATAGAAAGTGATAAAGCAGAGGTAGGAACTGAAGAGAAACAGTCAAATGAAAAAGAGTCCCATTCAATTGCATCACATGAAGGCACACAACTAAATATTGACAAATTTTATAAGTGCTTGTATACAAATGCTATAAGTCTAAATACTAAAATGGGAGAACTTGAGTGACTGGCATTAAATGAAGATACTGATATAAAAGACATCACAGAAACTTGGTAGAACAATGATAATCAATGGGACATGGTAATACTAGGGTACAAAATATATAGGAATGACAGAATAGGTAGTACTGGTGGGAGAGTGACATTATATGTGAAAGAAAGCATAAGAGACAAATATAGTACAAATCTTAAATGAATCAAACTGTATCTTAGAATATGGTACCTTAGAAATTCCAAGCTTGAATAACAAGAGTATAGCAGTAGGAATATACTACTGACTAACTGACCAGGATGGTGGTGACTGTGAAATGCTCAGGGAGATTAGACAGGATTCACAGATAAAATTTCTAGGCACCATTAATGACTGCTTCTTGTAGCAGCTAGTCCTGGAACCCACAAGGGGAGAGGCAATTCTTGATTTAGTCCTAAGTGGTGCACAGGATCTGGTCCAAGAGGTGCATATAGCTGAACCACTCAGTAAAATCAACAATAATGTACTTAAGCTTAACATCCTTGTGCAGGGAAAAATACCAAAGAAACCTATCACAGTAGCATTTAACTTCAAAAAGGGGAACTACACAAAAACGAGGAAGCTAGTTAAATGGAAATTAAAAGGAACATTCACAAGAGTGAAATGCCTGCAAGCTGCATGGAAACTATTTTAAAACACCATAATAGAGGCTCAAACTACATGTAAACCCCAAATAAAAAAGCCAGTAAGAGGACCAAACAAATGCCACCATTGCTAAACAGCAGACTAAAAGAGGGGTGAGAGGCAAAAGGGCATCCTTTAAAAATTGGAGGCAAATAGAAAGCACAATAAAGAGCATAAGCAAGTCGAGTGTAAAAATACAATTAAGCAGGCCAAAAAAGAATTTGAAGAGCAACCCGCAAAAGACACAGAAACTAACAAAAAAATTTTTCAAGTACATCAGAAGCAGGAAGCATGTCAACGGATGATCGAGGTGCTAAAGAAGCAACCAAGAAAGACAAGGTCATCACAGAGAAGCTAAATTAATTATTGAATCAGTAGTTTGATAAATTAAACAGTAATATGTCATCAAGACCAGCTGATATTCACCCAAAAGTTCTGAAGGAACTCAAATATGAAATTGCAGAACTACTATCTGGAATATATAACTTTTCGCTTAAATCAGCCTCTGTATCAGGTGACTGGCAGAGAGCTATTTTTAAAAAAAGCTCCAGAGCTGATCCTGGCAATCCCAGGCTGCTAAACCCAATTTCAGTACCAAGCAAACTAGTTGAAACTACAGAAAAGAACAAAATGATCAGACACATACATGGACACAGTATGTTAGGGAAGAGTCAACACAGCTTTTGTAAAGGGAAATCATGCCTCATCAATCTATTAGACTTCTTTGAGGGGGTCAAACATGTGAACAAAGGTGATCCAGTGGATACAGTGTACTTGGACGTTGAGAAAGCCTTTGACAAGATCCCTCACGAAAGGGTCTTAAGCAAAGCAATGAGTCGAGAGGACCTTCCCTCTTATCCCATAAGTATCAGTAACTGGTTAAAAGACAGAAAATAAATGGTCAGTTTTGAAATGGAATGCAGTAAACAGTGAGGTCCCTCAAGGATCTGTGCACAGTACAACATATTCATAAATGATCTGTAAACAGGGGTGCTGAGAGCCACTGAACCAAACTGTAAACCCTGTATATAATGGAAGCCACTTCAAGTCAGGGAGTGCTGCAGCACCTGTGTCTGTAAAAGTGTCAGTGTGGTGGCAAAATCTGCAGATACTAAATTACTGAAGACAGTTAAGTTCATAGCTGACTGTGAAGAGTTACAAAAGGATCTCACTAGACTGGGCAACAAAATAGAAAGATGAAATTCAATGCTGACAAGTGCAATGTAATGCACATTGGAAAAGATAATCCCAACTATACATATAAAATGATGGGGTTTAAATTAGTTGCTACCACTCAAGAGAGAGATCTTGGAGTCACTGTAGATAGTTCTCTGAAAACATCCACTCAATGTATAAATGCCACTGTATAAATTCATGGTATGACCACCCCTTGAATACTGCATGCAGTTCGGTTGCCCCATCTCAGAAAAGATATTAGAATTGGAACAAAATACAGAGAAGGGCAACAAAAGTGATTAGGGGTATGGAACAAATTCCATATGAGGAGAGATTAAAAAGACTGGGACTGCTCAGCTTAGAAAAGAGATGACTGAGGGAGGATATGATAGAGGTCTATAAAATCACGAATGTGTGGTGAAAGTGAATAGGGAAGTGTTATCTACCCCTTGATATAACACAAGAACTAGGGGTCACCCAATGAAATTAATAGGCAGCAGGTTTAAAACAAACATAAGAAAGTAGTTCTTCACAGAACACACAGTGAACCTGTGGAACTTGCTGCCAGGGGATGTTGTGAAGGTCAAACGTATAACTGGATTCAAAAAAGAATTAGATAAGTTCTTGGAGGATAGGTCCATTAATGCCCATTAGCTAAGATACTCGGGGATGCAACCCCATGCTGCATGTGTCCCTAAACCTCTGACTGCCAGAAGTTGGTACTGGACGACAGGGGATGGATCACTTGATAATTGCCCTGTTCTGTTCATTCCCTCCGAACAATCTGGAACTGGCCCCTATGAGAAGACAAGATACTGGGCTAGATAGACCATTGGTATGACCCAGGATGGACATTCTTATGTTCATCTCCCAACATAATTCCCTACACTCAGAAAATTAGTGTTTGAAAACCAACCTTTAGCTTGCTGTGTATTGCTTTAACTTCTTCACAACTGGAGGGTTTCGTGACAAGAATCTTGCTCAGTTTGTCATTTTCTACATGTAACCACTGTTCAAAGTCCTTCATGAGTTTAAGGAGGTGACTGTTCTCTTCCTCTTTGCTCACTTTTGTCTGAGTCACAGAACAAAACCCAAAAAGGAATTTATAAAAAGGAAACACACATTATTATTACTGCCTTCAGACACCAACAGCCAATCATGTTCCTGCTGAATTCCCATTGACTCCAGTGGGGCATCACCAGGGTCCAGGTCTGGTCTCTCCTGTCTCATCTCAACTGAGGCTAATTCTACAAAGTGCTGAGTGCCTCATGAGAGGTGCTCAGCACCCTCACCTTCCACTGAAGTCTCAAGTCCCACAGGCTCTCAATATAAGGAAGAACTTTAGGTCTGGATTTCCCATGTAGACAAAATCCCCTATGATTTTCATAGGAGTTATGCATGTAGAAGGGCAAAATAATTGGAAATGGAGCAGGAGGCACCATCCATCTGTGATTCAAGTTATAATTAACTGGTCACAGGAAGGAGATGGAGGGCCAGGTCCTCAGCTGGTGTAAACCATCTGCACTGGAGCTATGCTGATTTACACCATCTGAGAATCTGGCACTGAGTTTGCTCTACTAAAATTTGACAGTGGAATGAGGAATTTAGCAAAACACAGACGGTTCCAGGTGTTTTTTTTCCTAACTCCCTGCCTGGCATAATGGTACTATTTACAAGGGTCTCTACTATAACACATACCGTTTCATATCCAAAAGAGTACATGTGAGTTTGGCTGAGTGACTTCCACTGATTTGTATGGGAGTCATGAAGCTATGCTCCTACATCAGCCTTTGCAAATTGAAGATGTCGGATGTGCTTTCTAATGACCCAGTAAGGCTCAGAGCCTTGATCCCCACATTTCAGATGTTTGCTGGACTTTGCAAATTGGAGAGTTTTACATACGGTATCAGACAGAACCAAGGGAAATGGGCTTTGTAAAGTTATGCTGATACAGATTACTTCTCTCACCTGGGCGTGCTTGAGAGTTACCGCTGAAGAGCCGAAGGCAAACCCAGTCGTCAGTGTCTTACCCACAATGGTTATATTCTTCCCCGTATCAACCACTGTTGTATTTGGCTGCATGCTGCTGAGGAGGCTTGAAAATACAAAATCAGAGAAGTCAATGCAATGATGCATCTGACAACTGATACATTCATGGAATGGCGGGAAGGGGTGGGGAACCAAACCAACATACCTATGCTTAAAAATATTATTATTATTTCCTTACTATTAATAAAGTAAGAACAAGTAACAAATCAGCAGTGTCACAAAGTATTCGTAGTACTCAGTGCTAGGGCTGACTTGTAGCTCTTTAAGGAAAGTTATCAGAACAACACTCTTCTCTGCACAAGCAACACCACTGATAGGCTTTAATACTTCAGCCTGTCTGTTGATTTCCTTGACATGCTCCCTCCTTGCACCATCTTGAGCCCCCTGTCTCTACAGTGCTTCAAGCCCCTGGAAAGCAAATGAAAAAGTACAGGACTCAAACTTGGATGCCCCCCACTACTGTCCCATGTAGCAGTTCTGGTGCCTCCTCACTCTGCTGGGATCATGTCTGGCTGATTAGGGTACCAAGAGGCTTTTCTGGTAGCAAGTAATCACTGGAGCATCACCAGTAACCCTAATCATATAAATGTAGCTCCACACTGTACAAGTTGGTGCAGGTTATTTTTGTGTGAATATGGGTACATGCGCATGCACAGCACTTTGTTAGAAGTACAGCAAGGACCAGCAAATCTGAATAGCGCTAGGTACTATAGTGAACGCTGCTATAAATACAATGAGTATAGATAGGTAGGAAAGAAAATTAGCTCTGCTTAGAATGTTGCAAAACATTAAGAGCCAACTCCGAAGTGGCTCTTTGGAAAAGTACAGTTGATGTACTTTCAGAAGAGAAGGATGGTCTTGTGGTTAAGACACAACCGCAGGAGTCAGCTGATCTGGGTTCTATTCCTGTCTACCACAGACTTCCTGCATGACTATGGGCTAGTCCCTGAAAGGCATACTGTCAACTTGAAATCTAGGCTCTTTAAAAAAGGAAAGTTAAAGGTAGTTTCAGGTTCTATGCCTGAGCCTGAATGTCCCTGCCAGCTTTTGTGGGTTTTACAATCACATTTTCATATTTAAAAATATTTTCTCTCCATTATTGTAGTGTGGAAACACTACACATGGGAACCAGTGAAATTAACAACAAACAAAGTACTGTCAAAATATATATAGTAAACAACATGAGAAACCTTTTCCTCTATTGTCTGAGTTACAGTTAACACCTAAAATGACTATCAGTACAATATTTTTGGAAAAGAGGGTGATTTTTTTTTTAATGTTGCTAGCATCCCTTTAGCCCTTCCATTCCTCATTTCCCCCTACCACACAGAGATGGGCCTGAGCTGGATCCAAACTTTCTCAGTTTGGAAGCGCTTGGCTCTTGGGGTTTGGTTCAGGCCCATCTATAATTTTAGGCTCTGCCTCTTTAAGTATCCTTTCCTCTAAGGATCCATATCAGGAGTGTTTCTTGGTGCACAACAATGTTTTGACCATCTAAAATATTCTAAACAGTTAATATCAAGGTCTGCTGGTATTGCCTATAGATTTAATATAGTGCTGTATTTATGTACATCCAGAAAGCTCACATAATTAACATAGCTAGAATACATAATTTGTGCCCACTGATGCTGTCATTTTATTTTCAAGGGCTCCAGTTAGCAAAGTGCAGATAATGAAATGCCACCAGGGGATCAGCGTTTGGCTCCCAAACATATCCTTCATTCCCAAGCCTCAGGGACTGGGACCATGGTGCAGGCAGAGTGCTCTAACTAAGTTGCTTATATGGCTCCCATCAGGGGAATACCTGACTGACTCACCAGCTATGATGAATTTAGCCTCACAGCATCCTTGTGAGGTAGGGATTATTATCCCCATTTTACAGTTGGGGAATGAGGCACAGAAATGCTGAGGCTACGTCTACACTAGAAACTTCAAAGCGCTGCCGCAGGAGCGCTCCCGCAGCAGCGCTTTGAAATGTGAGTGTGGTCACGCGTGAACGCTGGGAGAGAGCTCTCCCAATGCTCCTGGTAATCCACCTCCACGAAGGGAATAGCTCCAGGTGCTGGGAGCGCATCTCCCAGCACTCGGGGCCTGTCCACACTAGCGCTTTAAAGCACTCAAACTTGCTGCGCTCAGGGGGTGATTTTTCGCCCCCCTGAGCCAGCAAGTTAGAGTGCTATAAAATGTAAGTGTAGATAAGGTCTAAGGCCATGTCTACACTACAGCTGCTACAGCAGCATAGCTCTGGCCTTCTCTCTCACAATACACGGCAAAAGAATTCCCAGCATGACCATGGGACATGTCCTACGAAGTCTCAGTGCCACACAAGTGAGTGCAGACACAGAAACTCAAGTGTTATTTTGCAGTGCAGCTGCTCTCACTTGAGCTAGGCGAACATGAGAGAAATAACTCAAGTGCAAACTGCTGGTTACCTCTGCAGTGAAGACATACCAATAACAGAACAGCTCATTTTAAAAGAAGCGGGGGTGGAGGGGTGGGGGGAGGCTAACGCAGCCAACAGAAGTTTGGACAAGAGAAGAACATACAACAGCCTGAAAAATAATGAATGAAAGAAATGCAATCAAGGGTGGGTTGCACTGAGCTCCCTAGTGAATCAGCAGTAGTTAGAGATTTTAGCAAGCCTTACTCTGGAGCAGTAGCAGGCAGGACTTGAAGATAATTAGTTTATTATTAGAGGCTTCAGAGTAAGCCAAAAGGGTTGATGAGTCTGGGAAGATGATCCAGCCTATGAGAGAAGAAATGTGCTTTAAAACAGGGGAATACAATGGACCGAGGGATGGGATTGCACTGCAGAAGAGGCATAGCAGATACAGGAGAGCATAGTGCCAGGAAAGCTAGCCATTGTTATTGGTGGGTTATTTTATTCAATGAGCACCCAGCCCGACAGTGCACCAACTGCACTCAAACAGGCCCATGGCCTGAAGGGAGCCCACTCTCAGTGTGGACATAACACAAGTAGCGATGGTCATAAACAAAAATGGAGTAAGGGGAGCGGTAGGGAAAGGGTCACAGATACATCTCGGGGGTTTTGCTAAATGTGGATTTCTTAATATAATTTTTATTAGCTTAATTCTCAGAGGTGCCACAGCAGCCGTGGGATCTGAATGAGGAAGTGGTGGTGGCCAGGTTAAAGAGTTGCGGGGAGGAGGGAAGGAGAAGCGTGAAAGAAGGCATGAAGGTAGAAAAAGGAGAAGGAAAAAAAGACAGTAGCACTGGCAGAGCCAAGAGTGTTTGGCGGGAAGGGAGAGACAAGCTTGGAGTTCTAGGTCAGGGCTGAGTGAAAGCCAGAGGGAGCTTGTGACATTACACCCCATATTCTTTATGGAAATATGCTTATGGCATAACAGATATATTTTATGCAAGATGGGTCTTGTAAGGTATCATCAGAAAGGTTATGATTTACTGAATGTGATTATCCAATTTGTATGCATGTATCATTTCTGTATCTAAAGTTAGGAATATTGACTATGTAACAATTACAACTGTGTGTGTATTTGGGAGACACCCACCAGACAACAGGTCATCTGCCTTGATGGGTCATTAGGAAGAAACAATAAGACTTTGAAAATACTAATCTCTCTCCTTCCTGAGAGGCTGACACTACTAGGTCAGTTGGCCTGTCACCTGGTACTAAACACCCTCTTGGACTTCTAGTAATTTTCCACTAAAAGGAGGGGAGGTCAAGACTGGGAAACAAAAGATTCCCACCGTATGTAAATTTTATTTAAGGCTGGAGAGTAAGGCAAACAAGACACTTCTCCATTGCTTTCCTGCCCAAGAAGAAAGACTGCTGAAAGTACCTGAAGAGACAAAGGAACTGAGCAGTGGGAAAGGCATGGGCTGGGTCCAGACTAAGACAGGAGTCTAGTCTGTAAAGAGAAATAACTGGAACTCTAAGCTACAGAAACTCTGCAACTTGCCTAAAACAACATTTAGGGTGAGAAATTATTTCTTGAAACCAGTCTCTCTAAGATCTTAAGCTTAGTATGTATGTTTTGTTTTATTTGCTTAGTAATCTGCCTTGTTCTGTTTGCTATCCCTTATAATCACTTAAAATCTGCCTTTTATAGTTAATTAACTTATTTTTGTTTATTATTAAACCCAGTTTGTACAATTTCTAACTGGGCGGGGGGGGGGGGGGGGGGGGCAAGAGGTTGTGCATCTTCCTCCACATTGAGGGAGGGGGCGAATTTATGAGCTTACGTTGTATAGATTTCTCTACAGCGCAAGACAATATTATTTTGGGTAGACTTTCCAGAGGGGAGCTGCACTTGAGTGCTGGGCAATTTCCTAGCTGAGTCTTCTGTTTGCAGACTCTGTGTGATTCTATAGCTGGTGCGTCCCTACCTATGTGTGTGCGTGTGCTGCCAGAGGCCGGAGAGCCTAATTCAGCAAAACAGGGAGAGGGAGCCCAGGCTAGTGGAACAGGCAGGCTCAGTGAAATCCCAGTACATCAGATGGCATCCCAGAAGGGGGGGTCCAACCCATCACAAATCTAGTGTGAGGTTAGATACCATGTGAAAGATCTTTTTATGCTGAGTGGAAAATAAACCAGAAATTGGCATTAATGGATAGAAGCACTTTTGTCTCATTTGGAGAGAGCCATTTGAGGGAGCAAATTCCAAAACAAAAATAATTGAGAGTGCTCCAAAAAAAAAAAAAAAAATCATCAGAAGGAGGTGAGCAACCTGTTATTTCTTTGTGTATTTCTCAACAAAATCTAGGTCACCGACAGAAATCTCGAGAGCCGGAGAACTCCTCCCAAGCACTTGGTAATCCAGACAAACCACTTGTAAAAGAACCCAGGAGCTCACAGCAGAGACGAAGAGGGAATGTGTGGTTCTAATTAAGCAGCATTCCTTGACAGGTAACAGCCAAGGCATCTGGTAATGGCAGGGGTAAGAATGTCTTCCAAAGTGACACTTAGCTGCCGGTAAGACCTAATTAAAGAGTGAGCTCTGTGTGTGTGTGTGTGTTTGGCTTGGCTTGTTTCTGAACGGCTTTAATTTGAATTGTTTATCCTTGGGAGCCATGCTCTGAAATCTAATGAGGTTTCAACACAAAACTGTGTGAAACTGTCACCCCCATTACAGCTGGTTCGCTGTGGCTGCAAGAGGCACAGCTCAGAGTCTCATTATCTCCTACTAATGCTTGAAGGATACAGGGGAGGTGGAGACTGTGTCAGTTTGGGGTGACGGATCATGATAATTAACCTAGACACGTTATCACTGTGCCTGGGTGAGCGTCTCAACTCCCCCCACCTAAGTCCTCTTCTCTGCCATCACTAACAATGTTACCCTCAGGTCTCTAAGCCCAGACGCACCTCTGACTCTGCTCTCTCCCTAGCCCCACATATGCAAGCAATATCCAAGTCTTGCCTCCCCTTCCTCCTCCATAACCTCTCCAAGATCCAGACTTTTCTCTCTGTTCAGATCTGCAACACTCTCATCCAAAGCCTTATTTCCTGACTCAAGTACTGCAAAGCTCCTGTTGGCTCAGGCCTAAGGGAGATTTGCCAGGTACAGTGTCTGCTCACAGACCACAATATCCTGGCTGAAGTCTGAGAAGAGGTACTGTACAGATCATAGACACAGTTGGCCTGAGTCTCCACCTTCTTACACCAGCGTAAATCAGGAATAACTCCACTGCAATAAAAAAAGAATCAAGCACAGCTCCTAATTTTCAATACTCCTTTAGGCTTAGCGTTTGCAGGGCTGGTTATAGAGCAGCAGAGAGAATCCCCCTCGAAGGGACATGGAAAAGACATATATGAACACTTACCTGATTGTCATTTTTTTGAGTGATCTCAAAGATTCTGTCAGCTGGTTCATTTCAGTATGGACATGTGCTGCCCCCTCTGGGGAAGAACTCTCAATCACCAGCTGGCCATGAGCCCCAACAAGGTGCAACTGGATCTCTTTGCTTGGGAATTCAGCTAGCAGCCCCTGAAATTCACAGCACTCACAGTCACTTTCAGGTGTCGCTGCTATTTCTGAAGCTTTAACACAATGCAGGACACCTATGTCAAATGAAGGGCTATGTTCAGACCAGGATTATGCTCGTTTCTCTTGGCACTACACTAGTTACGGGTCCCCAGCAGCAAGATCTGCTAGGGGTTCCTGGAGGAATCCAGCAAAGCCCAAGAAGTGGGTAGCATGGGATTAGGGAAGAGGTGTAGCTAGTACGTCCCTGCTGCAGGGTAACACTGTGGGGCTTCTCTGGAGCCCCCAATGGAAATTAAAGCTGCTGCTTCCCGCTCAAGGGCCAATCAGCCCAGGCTGGCACAGGAAGTGTAAATCACCAGTATGAGTGAATCTGACGCCAAAGTATTTCCATGAAGGGAAAACTGAGCAACTGTGGGAACGGGGACATTTTCCCGTTTGCACAAATAAATGCAATGTAGGATAAACCAATAGAGTAATCTACCATTTAATGCTACATTGCTGTGTGTCTGGAGAAACCATCCTGCCAGGAGGAATTCACTTTCAAGACTGGATTTTCCTTTAATGATGCTGCAGACATTTCAACAGAAGCTTGATGCTTCTTTCGCCCTAACCAACCCCAGATCATCATGCACTCATCATAGAGCAGTCCAGTTAGGCAGTAGGAATCTTCTGTCCACAAGTTTACATGGCAAATGCAAATGGAAATGGAGCCCAGGGGAACACACCACTTCCCCTGAACATCTACCTGCTGCTTCAATCACAAAAGCAAATGGATGATGACATCATATGCCAAAATGTGGTCCTCACCTCCAGGTCTGCGACTCTGCTCGCCGTGTTCCTTTCCCCACTGGCATCCTGATAGGATTCCAACTTCTGTTCAGTCATTGTGATCCACCGCTGAAGGTCTGACAGTTTGTTATTGAACGTCCAATGCTCCCGAACGTGCTTCTCAGTCCGCGCCAGGATGATCTAAAAATACCACGAGTCACCAAAACACATCAGTGATAGAACACAAAGAGACAGCAGGCTTCATAAGGGAGACTATGGCGACGGATGCTATAGAAACACAAAGAGAGGGAATAAAAATACGGATGAAAGGCAGAAACTCTTCGCTGTTTAGTACCATGACATGGAATGCACCTCCTAACTGGATATCTACAAGCTCCTGCAGATCTGAGCTTAGCCACATGGTGGGGCATTATGTGTTAGAATAGTTTCCCTCTTTACAGATGACTCAAAGTGAAAAATCCTATATTTTAGTATCTGAACTAAGTACTTCCTCCTCCCCTCTTCGCATGCAAAATCACACTAGATAGAATAGAAAGAGATCTGCCATATGGTACTTTTACCTGGAAAAATACTATTTTAGTGATATATTTGTTTACTATTTGTGATTAAAAACTAGAATTCCCTAGCATATTAGAGTCAAATTTTATTACGGATAATTTTTTTAGTGACATAGCAAACCAAGAAAATTTTACATGCTCTCAGTTTGTTTTGGGAGGGAAGATTTTTATAGCTGTCTTTACAAGCAACAAAATACTTTCGGTCAGTAGTTCTCAACTGGGGATCTGCGGGCCCCTGGGGGTCCGTGAGCCCTTTCAGGGGGGCCGCGGAGCCCCGCGGCCGAAACCTGGTGCCCCAAGCCCCAGTGCTTAAGACGGGAGTGGCGTGGAACTAAAACCGGCACCGCCCGCCCCCCAGCCGGGAGCAGTGCGGGGCTGAAACCGGCAAACCTCCCCCCCCACCAAGCCAGGAGCAGCAGGGGGCTGAAGCCGGGAGCCTCAATGCCCCGCCCTGAAGCTGGGAGCTGCACTGGGAGCCCCCCCTGCCTGTACACAGCCCTAGCTACCCCCTGCCTGCACCGTGAGCTACCCCCCTGCCTGCACCTTGAGCTACCCCTTTGCCCGCACACAGCCCCAGCTACGCCCCTCCCTGCACCCTGAGCTACTCCCCTGCCCACACACAGCCCCTAGCTACCCCTTCCCTGCACACTACCCCCCTGCCTGCACACAGCCCCTAGCTACCCCCTGCCTGCACCGTGAGCTATCCCCCTGCCTGCACACAGCCCCAGTTACCCCCCTCCCTGCACCCTGAGCTACTCCCCTGCCCACACACAGCCCCAGCTACTCCCTCCCTGCCTGCACCCTGAGCTACCCTCCCTGCTCACACACAGGCCATAGCTAACCCTTCCCTGCACCGTGAGCTACCCCCTTGCCCACACACAACCCCAGCTACCCCTTCCCTGCCCCGTGAGCTACCCCCTTGCCCACACACAGCCCCTAGCTACCCCTTCCCTGCACTGTGAGCTACCCCCCTGCCTGCACACAGCCCCTAGCTACCTCCTGCCTGCACCCTGAGAGGTTTTCAAACGTTTTGAACTGAGTCCCCCTTTGAGTTATATTTTTTGGTTACATCCCTCCACAGCCCAGACAGACTGGTGGTTTCCTGAGTGAGTCAGCGGGTGGAGGTGGCACTCCGTCCCTGGACCATGCTGTGCAGAGCTGGCTCAAGCCCCACCAGCCCTTGCCCCCCACAAAATAGAAGTAAAACTATGCCTATGCCCAAGGGTCCTCCCCCGGCCTGGAGCCCAGCGCTCCCCGCTAGGCCCTGGCGTTTTTATAGCATGCTGAGGGGGGCCTCAGCAAGAAAAAGGTTGAGAACCCCTGACCTAGGTCAAATCAGTCCTTGATGTAACCGCAGTGGTTTTGGTCCATTAACTTTTAGGTCTTATAAAGCCTGCGATAAACCTTCCAGATGACCCAGTACTAAATGCCCTATGCAGCAAATCCCAAGAACATTGCACGAGCCCAAGCCAAAAAGATCTGGACACTCAGCAATGGATTCAGCCCCTCAGAGTGGGGAGCCTCACACTGCACAATTGAGACTTTCCAAACCAACACGTAGTAGTGTTTATAGACTCTAAAGGGGAGTCTATCCACTCCTCACGACTTGTCTGAACACAAAAGTTGTATTGTTTAACTATATTGGTGTAGTTAAAGTCGTACAACCCTCACTAGTGTGGACACAGTTATATTGGTATAAAGGTGCTTATTCTGGTATAACCTATTCCCATATAGAAAAGGAAGGGAGGAGGGATAGCTCAGTGGTTTGAGCACTGGCCTGCTAAACCCAGGATTATGAGTTCAATCCTTGAAGGGGGCCACTTAGGGATCTGGGGCAAAATCAGATCCTGCTAGTGAAGGCAGGGGGCTGGACGTGATGACTTTTCAAGGTCCCTTCCAGTTCTAGGAGATAGAATATCTCCATTTATTATTATATAAAGGGAAATATACCGGTATAAAGGTGCTTTAGAGCAGTACAGTCTAACTGCATCCACTGTAGAGATTGTACCTTTATAACTATATAGGTAAAAATTCCCTGCTCCCACAACCAAAATATTTCAACATCTAAGTGTAGCCTCAGTTGGTAGGATGATGGCCACAATGTAGGGTGAGGAAGATTAAAACAGAAAACTGGGGAATGTTTAAAGATTTATCAAGGCCATAAGAACTCAGCCGCTGCCTTCCGCTAGCGGAAAATGTCAGCAGTTGAAAGCAGACATTATGATAATGTGAAAGGATAATTTTCGCAGTTGCCACTTCAAATTCTCCACTAAATGATGAGTTACCTCCAGAGATCTCTTCAGTGTCTGATAGTCAGATGAAAGCTGGTTCATTTTACGCCTGTGGGTGGGATTAGATTGAACTAGATTCTCCAGCTCTTCCATTTGAACTATAAACTCTGCCAACTCTTCTTGGATCATCTGTAGAGAAAAAGGAATACTGTACATTGGCTATTTACATACTGAGCACGATTTGGCCCTACAAGACAGGTCAGAACGTTGATTCTGAAGTTGGTTCCATTTGACAGCATGAGATGTATTAAAGAAAAATAACTAATTTTAAGCAATTTAGTTTCTGATGCCTAGAAATGAAAATTTACAAAAGAAGCCAGCAGGCTTTCTGATACATTAGCAGCTGATTACAAAGAAGCCACGTGATAGCATGCTTGCTGCTAGTAGGCTAATTAAAGCACCACAAATGGTACAATAGCATCAAAATAGCAGCAATTTAAGGACTTGATTTTGCTGTCACTGAGACCAGGTCTACACTAAAAAGTTAGGTTGACCCAGCTGTGTCGCTCGTTTCTCTTTGCACTACAGGAAATATCCCAATTCCCAACCCTGATTCTCACTACTGTGAGATCAGAACCAGGCTGTATAAATTTATCATAGAAAAAACATCTTTCTAGAATCAGATAATCTAGAATCAGACTTGTGTGACAAGTCAAGCAAAGAAGGGCTTCTCCTCGCCGCCCGGTACTTCTGACATGAATAAATTATACATTTTGCCTAGAAGGAAAATAAATCAGGCCATCTGCCAAAGTGAACATGATTAACATGCAAGTAGCGTAGATAACCATCATTGTAACATACCTGTAGTCTCTGGAGTCGTGTTTCTTTACCTAAAAGGTCAGGTTGTGGTTCATTCTCTAGATCTACTTTGGCTCTGATAGTAGATAACTTCTTCTGCAGAGGCACAAAGCCTGCATCAAAGTCTTTATGTTGAGTTACCAAACTCTAGGCAGAAAGAGCAAAAAGAGCACTCAATATAACTACAGTTATATTATTTTGTGAGGGTCTACTTGACACTCTGAGCAAATAAGCAGCTGCCCTGCACAATAATCTACGTTTCTATTAATCTACAAAATGCATCAGACACAGTTGATTAGTATTAGTGAATTTATTTATACAAATCTGGATTAATAAAAGATTAATCACAATCTTTGGCATGGATATTAAATAGTAAGCAGGCCTTGGAGTGAACTTAATAGTAACTGCTCACCTGCAGTCTGCTTCTCCTTTGCAGCAGACTTTTGTGTAGAATTTCTCTCTCCTTTGCCGTATCGGTTACTTCCACGAGGAGAGACTTTGCTCTCTCCTCACCAAAGATACTGCTTAGCAAATCCTTCTTCAGCTGTAACATCATCAATTGCTCCTTGAATTGGGAGCTCTGAGCCAGGCATGCCTACAGGAGAACAATTCTTCTAGTGAAATCGGAACACCAAGGGCTACATGAGCGGATCAGGTGACAAATGCACAGAAAAACAGCAAGGCCATGACTGTAGGACAACAGTATCTTGAGCATACCTGCTATACCACAAGGCACCCACAGTATGCCCAGCCGAGAGCCAACACAGCAACTTGCCAGAACCCTCAGGGCAGCACTCATTTTTTTAAAATAAAGGGAGCCAATTGCAGTCACCTTCATCCCTAATATGGAGATGAGGCCCAACGGCTCAGCATGAAGCCTGGCTGCTCGCATCAAGGTGAAGCATTGTTTGCTGGGATCTGTCGTCTACACTCTTAAAAGGAGGAAGCTGTGGGCAACACTGCAGGGCTTACTCCAGTACTCTGTGGGCTTACTCCAGTCCTGGTACAATGTATGACTCAGGCTGCTATACCACAAACTGCATCAGGAAGGAGTAAACTCTGCTCACAATATTTCTTTTATATAAACTGGACTGCTTCTTTGGTTCTGCAGCTGCTTTGCTGACCTGCATGAAGGAAGCCTACTCAGCTACAGGTGCCTGACATGAAACTGTCTTATCAGAGTTATGATTCAGTTTGATCCCTGTTTATGAAAGCATTTATTCCAGAGATCCAAGGAGTGAGGGTTTCGCCATCACTACTCAATTCATGGGTGCATGCAGCAATTATGCATCTTCATCTCTAAACTATATTATTAGAAAAGTATTAATGGAGTCCTCAGATTTCCAACCCAGATGGATTTGGGGTTACTGCCAAAGGCAATAATAAGGCACTTAGCTCTTATATAACATTCCTTACTCAACTGGCAACTCTAGCTTATTAAATAGAATGCTCAAAATGATGTGATTTTGTTACAATTAGTGAAGATGTAGGCCTGAGTTTCAGCAGTGTGTTATTTCCTACAGGAACTGGAAAACATTCTCAGTTGTCGCCATCAGACAGCTGCATTCGTGCACATGTCACTACAGCTTGTGCCGTGCGAACAAGATACTGGCTTCCTAACTTAGCTGCAACTCTCTACCTCAATCTGAAGTAAGAAAGCATGTGTCAGGGAGGGCTCAGCAACGTTAGCAGTGGAGTCCAGAAGTCTCTGAGCTGATGGCTTCCACAGCTGGAACTCTCGCAGTGGATTTTGAAAACTCTGCCTGAGCTCAGTTTCAGTTCCAGTGCTCATTTTAAATGTCTTTCCCTTGACCCTGCAAGAATAAGCAGACAATGGAGAGAATGATTAAAGTGAAATCTTTAGCTAAATGTGCAATTCACTAAGGGACAAAATAGCACAATCCTTGTGTGCCTGCTCCACCCAACACAAAGAACCTCAGTTTTCTCCTTGTGTACTCCTGGCTTTGTCCACCCTTTACTAGGCAGCTGCTTCTGCCAGTCAGATGTCCAACAAACCCTGCTTAGACCTGGAGGGACACATTTATCTCTGCTCCAACTTCACTGAAATCAGTGGAGATGTACCAGGGATGAAATCTTGCCTGGCAGTTCCAATGCCAAACAATCTCATTGTGTTCCGTTTGTTACCTTCAGTATTATCCACCAATAAGAGCAAAGGAACAACATGGCTGGTGGATGGGAGAAACAAGCCATGTACGTACATCTAAGAAACCTAGCGTTTAGCTGCACCCCCCTTTAGCATTTATACATAAAAAGGTGAAAAGGGAGTTTTGGTCCATTTTTAATTTTTTTTTTAATCTTTACACACAAAAAATAAATGTTTGATAACCCAAAATTGCCCAGACTAAAGGGGACACAAATAAATTTTCCTGGTCTTTCATTCTAGATTTCTTAAACTTCTTAGAATAATTTGTGTGTCAAGTAAAATCAGTGGATAAATTAAAATAGCAAACACTCATTAAACTAATATATGGTTTAAATATCCAGGTTCCCAGTATGAAGGCTGGTCCTAAATGCTGTGGGGTCGTGAGAGTAACTTATGCAGTTCCCTTCCCAGTGGCAGACCCCCTACAGTTACCTCCTACTTCCCTATGCTTTCCTGACCTTGGATCCTGAAGTCAGGAGCAGCTTGCAGTATAAAGTTTACGCATAAAAGGAAACATTGTCCTGTTAAGACACAGGAATGAGAATCAAGAGACTAGAATTCAACTCCTAGTTATACCACAGACTTCCAATGCAATCTTGGCTAATTTCACTTTTCTGCATCTGCTTCCCCCTCTCTGAAATGGAGATAATACTAGTTACCCACGTGTCACAGGGGTGTCTGCAATGAGCTTAGCTTTCTGAGGGCCCTGAAATCCTCAGACGGAAATCTCTGTTATTACTTCCTTTGCCATCCACTCTACAGCCTCTGGCAGCAGCAGCCTGTGACTTTGCCAAGCCTTTCAAAGAAGCAGGAGTAATGGGAAAAGCTGGCAACTCATTGAACAGTCACTGATTTCTGATCAGAGGCAAGTTTAAGTCTCCTATAGTTGTTCTTCAGTGGAAAATAAATCCCATTTTGTTTCATTTTTTAAATGTGAATTGCTTGCTTTTCTGCATCAATTTTATTCCTCCAATCTTTTTCCATTTGCCAGCACAGTCTGCTCTAGGGATAGGAAAACCAGTTTAGATACAATAAAAATAAACTGACCTTCTTTTTCCCTTCCCAGACTGATCCTTTCTTGAAGTTTGCTAACTGCAGCCTCTGAACTTCCTGATTCCAGACAGCCTGGAAGTGGAAGTGCTAAAGCACAGGGAGAGGCTAGATTTGCAATGTTTCGAGCCCGAAAATGGAAGCAGGAAACAGGAGGTAGGGAGTCAGAGAAGCTAGAATAAGCCCTGACAGATAACTGGGAGGGGAATGATTCATCAAAACAAACCTCCCAGAAAAAGGCCATGTGCACTCTGCAGTAATTCAGCCAAACCATTTACAACAACAGTTCCCAGTCTGATTTTTAGTTGAGCATGAAAAGCAATCAAAAAATAAAAATACTGATTCTACAATGCTAAAACAAGCAGTCAACGCAAATATTTCATCCAGACTATACACACTACAGCAAGAGAGGGATCCAAGAGCAGGAGATAAGGAATTTGTGTTCCAAACCATTATGGAGCCTGACAATATACTGTACACACAGTCAAACCTTCCCACTACATCAGAGAAACCACAAAGATCAGTTTCCTTTGCTATTTTTAACATGTAAATGCATGATCTCGCTCCCATTGAGGTCAGAGGCAAAACTCCTACTCACCTCAATGGAAGCAGGCTTGGGCCCTAAGAAAGAGATTTTCTAGCACTCTGAACTAGGGCCAGATTTATGGAAGTATTCAGCCACCCAGCAGCTCATGTTGCAACACTTCTAACCGGAATGCCAAATGAGGCCAACGCACAATGGACTGAGCTCTTCTGAAAATCTGGCTATTTATTTTGGTGCCTAAACGGGAGTTGAGCTCTTCTGAGACTTCTCCTAAGACAATGCTTCTCAGCAAGGTTCCAGGAACTGGTCCCAAGGCAGCAAAGTTAACTGAAATGTGGGATGTGGCTATCACCAGTAAAAGAGAAAAACAAAAGAAAACCCCCCAAACCCTTTGTGACTCTGCCACCTAAGGTCAGTCTAACTTGCACTTTTTCCACGGGCCCCTGCTGATTCTTGGAGCCATTCGGTCCCCAGTGAAGTTTTATGTCAAACTGCTAGCCGACCCCACCCACATTCCCCACTGATAAATACCTTTGATATTCCCGTATTGCGGCTACAACACCGTCAGAGAGTGGTTGTATATTCTGTGAAAACCGGAACAATTCCTTAAGCTGAGCCTTCAGTCTCTCAACCTTTGACTCTTCTGCGGCAAGCGCTGCTCTTGTTGCCTTAATCATAAAAATAATGATCAGTTTGCATTATGAGCACAAAACCTGGAACATGAAATGTATAGACTATGCTGAATCTAGAGATGGTCAAACTATTTGCCACAAGCCATTTGTGTGTCAAATTTGACCCTTTTTTCTGTTCTCAAACTGTCCATGAACCGATCAGGATTTTCATAAATGTCCATGTTGTTTGTTATAGTTAGGTGATTAATTTTTAAAAACACCTTTGTGCCTATGGGTGTTTTATAAACTGTTCACAGCAAGTGCTCTGTGAGTATTTTAGATGCAGAATTCACTATTTGAACTGTATGACTGGTCAACAAAGTCACATGGCCAGGGGTGCTGGAACAATTTTTATAGCGGCGGTGCTGAGAGGCATCAAACCAAACTGTAAACTATGGCCATCCTTACCCATACACAAACTACGCAGCTACGTGCTGCTCCAGTGGCCAGCCTGATCGCCCGCCCGGCTGAGCCGGCCAGGAAAGCTGCCCCCGCTCCTACCCGCCCCCTCTCCACTCCTTCCCCATAGCCCCTGCCCCTGCTCTGCCCCTGCCCCTCCTCTTCCCACCCCTGCTCCGCCCCAGCCCCGCCCCCACTCCACCCCTTCCCCTGAGCTACATGCCGGGGGACTGCAGCAGGGGTCGGGCGTCCTGCACTCACCAGGTGGCAGGAAGTGGAGCGACCCAGCCCCAGTCTGCTCTGCTGCCAGTGAGTGCTGGAGGGCGGTTCTCCCCTGCCCCCCGTGCCTGTTCCTGCGCCCCCCCCCCCCACGGAAGCCTGGGGCCAATCACCCACACACACACACACGGGGGGGGGAGGGGCTGCGTAGGGCACCGCAATGTCTAGGGACGGCCCTGCTGTAAACCCTGTATATAATGGAAACCACTTCAATCCAGGGGGTGCTGCAGCACCACCCCCCAAACCAAGTTTCAGCACCTATGCACATTGCTTAATTTCTATTCCCTGATTGGGCGACCTAAGGCGAGCAGCACTTCTGGTACAATTACAATCAAACCTATCTGTGCTAATAGCAGCTCTTCCGCAAACAGTACAAGAATACAATATGGTTATATGGATGTGCATGGAAAAGGGAACAAAAAGGGGTAGGTACACAGTTGGATTGAAACACAGTTTGGCTTTAGTGAATTATGTTTACAACTACTTTTGCTTTACTCTTTGCACAGTACTTGCTGAATATGACATAACTAGGCATTTTGGATTATAATGAAAGTAATAAAAATGATGACAGATGTATAAATGTTACAGCTGTTACCAGGAAGTTAATGATGTGTGATTTTAAATAATCTATCTGCAAAAGACCCTCTTCTTATGCCATCTCATGTTTAGAGAAGTTTGATTTTTTTAACATGGGAGTTCTACAACCTGAAACCTGAAATTATAAGTGTGCGTACACATGCCCACCAGTACGCACTTCATTTTAATGGGACTACTTGCAGAGAAAGACACAACCCCATATAAGCAGGAACAAACAACATTATTTTCTGTACCTAAGGAGAAGCTGGGAACAGATAGTGTGAGGCAGAGACTGAAAAATTTTTGGTTCTTTTCTCCCTATTCACATTTTTCCTTATTCAAGTCCACATACATTCTTATACCGTCCTCAGCCCCATAGTATCTGAGCACTTTCCTGTAGTGCACTGTGACAGGACTAATATCTGTATGATCAAGGGTGGTCATGTACCTTCAGTTTTGTCAATGTGTTTACCACACTTCTCTTGTTGTTTTTAGGCATACAAAATACAACCACTTACGATGTATTTTCTCCACAGAGCTACTAAGTCCTCTTCACTCTTTGGCTTCTCCCCTGACTCCAGGTCATCTTCTAGTCTTTGTAGCATCTTTCTGAATTCCTGGACTTCTGCTTCCAACTGTCTGGCTTGGGACTGATAGGCACTTTCTGACTTAAGGATCTTATGCATTCTCTCCTCTTCCTCAACACATATTAGTTTCAACTTCTCCAGGGCTTTCCTCAACTCCTCCAACTCATCCTTCATCTTCCCAGCTCCTAGGGGGGAGGTGTTCTGGATCACCCCTGTAGACTGAACCTCCAGGCATTTCAATTTCTTTTCACCACGATTGACATCTTTGGCAATGTTCTGAAGAAAGAAGGGAATCAGAAAGAGTTAAGTGGAAAGAACGGTGGAGGTGGTGGGGAAATGACACCTGATAATATTTACTTTTGTGTATTTATTTTCTTCTCCAATTGTTGTTTCAAGGCATGTCACTTATGAAGTGGCCAGCTGCCAGATTTGATATACTTATTTAAAACTTGTAGCCTTATGATTTAGATAATATAACAGCGGGAGCATGGCTTCCCAAGAACTTGAGGAATCTTTTAAAACTGTTGGGCCTGATTTTCAAAAGTGTTCAGCACCCACAGGGCCAGTGGAAGTCAACAGGAGCCACATGTACTTGGCAGCATGGATACTCAGGCCACAGTGTCTAAAGTTTAGTAGCCCAAACTAAGGCACCCAAAATTGGAGACCACTTGTGAAAAATGGTGCTGTTAACAGTGTCACCAACCCCAAGCATTCAAAAATCATGAGTCAGGCCCACCCAAAATCATGAGATTGGCTTAAATCATTAGATTTTTAAAAATAATAAAGGTCAGGGTTGTTTTTATTTGCCTTCTGGCCTTTGAGCCTCTGCGTTACATTCAGATCATGTTTATATGCTTCTCTCTGTAACCAGGAAGGCTAGAAACTTACATTTCTTTTTTTTAAATGAAAGCTCAGATTCTCATGTAATCACATGACTCCAGGAACTGGAGCTTTAAGAAAAATGTCAAATAGCATGAGACTCATGATAAAATTGGGAGAGTTGGCAATGGTGTGTTAATGACATCACAGAGAGAAAGTGGCAACTAGACGACTCCTGATTCAGGACCCCTTCTTTAGCTACTACACCAGAATTTGTTTTAAATATCCCCCTCTGATAATATACCCTCCCGCCCGCCCGCTCGCTTCAGATTTCTCCCCAGAGCCAGCTTTGAACTTGCAGTGCTTGAATTCTAGACCCACAGCATACTCTTGGAGCCACACAGCTCTTAGGAATACACTATTCTGTTAAATACTTGTATGATTTGGGGAATATACACAAGAAGGGATTCAGGTGAGGAGAATGCATTTCTTAGCAGCGCTCTCCCTCCCCCTACTAGAACTGTATCATAAAGAACCTGCAATGTCTTTAGCCCGTTGTCTGCTGGCAACTTTGTTGTTTCTCCAATGCAGCAGTTCAATCTTTCAGTCACACCATTCAGCCACAATTGAAATTGGTCAACGCTGGTCTTGTATTGCTCATGTTCCTTCGTTATCTTTTCAAGCAATTTCACTCTGCACTGTAACAAGAAATGTCCAAAATGGTGAGGGCAAGAGCTTACCTGTCTCTTCACAGGTTGCATTTTTAACTAGGAAAACAGAGCCCATTTCCTTTCACCCTCATGTCACTCAACCTTTTCAGGAATTCACACCTCATCTCCAGTATGAGGACAAAAATATGTAAAGCTTTCTCCGGATCTTGGCTGTGCTGTAGCACCTCAACATTTATTCAGAGAACAAAAGATGGCAAGGTCCTGTGAGGTCAGTGCCTCGCCTCCCCTTTCCAAAGCTTCGTATTTTTCATTAAAAAGCGGTATTATCCTTTCCCAACTTTGCTTTGAAACAGGAGACAATATATGGGGTCAGCCTAGAAGCTACAGCGAGAGCCTCCATGCTGGCAAAAAGTACAGGATTACTCTGTCTGATCATGCCTGGGGCATGTAAATTATTTCACAGCACTTGCCATTTAAACAAGATGTAAAGAAACTACTATAATTGCAGCATTAGAAACTCTGCAATATTTTTAGCATCTATGGTAACCTCCAAAGACTTTGCTTTCATTGGCACAATATATAGGGCCTGGCAGTGTTTGGCTCTGCACAAACTAGGGGCAGGGTGCAAGGAGACGTCTCTCTACACACATCTTATGCCCCTATGCAGGGGCCAGAGACAGGACTGGATCCTGGGATCTGGCTGATCTACACAGAGGTCAGGTCACTGGTCTAGGGGGAAAGGTGACTCAAAACTCCCATCTGCTCTCTCCTGACCCTGGAGCTGCTCTGTGCAGACCCTGCATCAAGTTGGAATAGTCTGAGGGTACCTCTATCTTGTGTCCTCTGCAAACAACTCCAGCAGTCTGAAGACACCATGGTATAGGAGCATTCTGGCCATGTCACCTCTCCTCCAGCCATGCCAGCAGCGCAGAGGCAGAGAAATGCATGAGGCCATATGTCAGCTCCAGACACCAGAGGATCACCCTTGTGCTAGGATGATCCTCCAGAGCCAGTCCCTCTTGCTTTAGGGCCAGACCATGACAGTGGTGCAATGCAAAGCAGCTACACTGCACTGGAGAATCTGCCCCACAGTGACAGTCTTTGCAGTCAGAAGGCAAAATTCTGATCTCAATTACGTGGAGTATTGAAAACTCTGTTGAAATGGGAGTCTGTCCTTTAAATTTCAGGGCACGTTCCTGATCCTGCTTGCAGGCTAGGGAGCTCTGTAGGAAAGCGTGTGATCTGGGCCTGGCCTAGCCTAGTGTAAGGGATCATAGACCTTGAATCAAGCCTTGCACATAGTGGGCCAGATCCCTTGGCAGAGAAAGTGAAATGAAGACATAAATACACTAGGGCAGGAAGTGCAAATTGTAAAAACTCCCAAGTGGCAGGATTCAAATCTGATTGATAAACAGAATTATGGTGAAAATGTACTCCAGCATCTTACAGTAAAATTACAAAGGTTGATTAAGGAGAAGATGCACAGCTTAAATTGAGAAGTAGCTTAACCTTTGCCTGGGACAAGCTGTTCAATCAAAATGAAGCAGTCCAAGGCTTGGAGATTACTGCTGAAAATGTTGCGATCAATCAGGTCATGTGATAAATGACACCCATTTGAACAGACACAACATTGTGCTAAGCTATCATATGAAAAGCTAACCAAGGGCAGGCTGAAAACCTGCCAGACTGCTAGATGGGGCTGCCTCTGAGTGCAACTTTTAATGAAGAGAAAGACGCTGCCAGACGGGGCTGCCTCTGAGTGCAACTTTTAATGAAGAGAAAGACGCTGCCATTTGCTCTGTCAGGCAACTAATTATTCTTTTCACTGAGAAGCAACACAAAAGGAGCATTAACTCTTGCCTTCTGCAGAAGCACTTGAATAATCAGAGAACTTCTACCAGGCAAGATGTGGCATGGGGAGGAATGTTTGTACTGACAAGAAAATAACAGATCCCAAGCAGGCTGAGATGAGGAATACTAAGAGATGACATTGTGAAGAATATATGCAGGTTTTTGGTTTCAGGTTCAGGACATGCTTTTGGTGCATCGTTACCCAAGAGATCAAGCATGAAGGTCTACCCCATTCTCTGGCCTCTATGGGTATGTCTACACTGCACACTAAGCCCAGGTCTGCGGGACCCAGGCTTGTAGACTTGGTGTTTCCAAATCAGAGTTTGAGTGTTCACACTGCATTGTAAACCTTGCTTTACAATTGTGGGACCCATGTCTCAGAGCTGTGCTAACACGTCTATACAGCACTACGCAGACCTTCTGACTGAGGTCTGCAGCTTGACCTGGGTCCGCACCGCAAAATGACAGGGCTTGGACCTGAATCACAGCGGGAATCAGGCTTTGACCCACTCCCTTAGCGGGACCCTAGGACCCAGGTCCTGAGTGCTTGCTGACCCGAGTCAGACTGATGTGTGTGTGGACAGAAGTGGGGCTTGGGCTCAAGCCTGAGTCAGAGCCCAGGTTTAGTGTGCAGTGTAGACATACACTATCTGCCACTCCAGCAGCAAACAGGGGCTATAAGTAGCCAGCAAACAACTAAGGGAGAATTCCTGGTGCAGGCACTGTGTTAAGCCACTGCTGGCTCCCTGCAAGCATCGGTACAGGAGGTGTGTGAGGGCAGTTGTGGGGCTGGAGACAGAAGAGAATGTATTGGAGCAGAGCTGTACAACATGCTACCATGGCCAATCTGGCTTGCGCTGCAAGCCACAGGGAGCTCTGCAGAGGATGTCATAACTTAGGGGTGCCTAAATTTCGCTAGAGGTTGTTTCAGCCCCTGGAGCAGCCCAGAATTGGGAAGGCGCCAAAAATGACTTCAAGCCACCCTCTGCCACTCTCTCCCCCTAACTCACATGGGATTGTCTGAGAGTAGAATGAAAGACTGTAGGTTTAATTTAAGAGAACCAATGGGAATCAAAATATTTGTGTTTTGCACCAGCCTAGATTGAATAAGTGTTGAAACTTTACTTCACTACTGTTCCTGTTAAACAAGAAAGACAGGATGTCTCCCTGATTATTTATATTTAGATTACATTCTTGGTTAGTACCAATAACTTTTTTGGGGGGGAGGGGGAAGAGGGGATGGAAGAGACCTGTGGAGCGGGGGAGGGAATTGGCTGCTGTGTGTAAAAATGTTACAACAACTGTAATTAAAAGAAATTCTGGTGAATATAATTTTCTATTTGGGAGTGAGAAGGATACTCAGTGGCAGCAAAAAAATATGTTAACTCACCGGAGAAGCAATATCACAGTTAAACCATTTGAGAAATGGAATCCACTTGCTTAGCCTGTGACAGAAACGGACAACTGCACGAGATCTAAAAAAGCTTCTTGAGTACTAGTGAAATTTACAAGTACCAGCAAGCTGTCTCCTGTAGCCAACTTTGGAATTCAGCTGTCATTTGCAATTTACACGTAGTCTGGCCCCCGATCATGAGAGGGGCTGAGACAACTCCTTAGATTAAGGGATCTCTTTCATTCAGTCCTCCCTCCCATTGTGAGAGGTAGCAAGGTTCCTTCAGCTACCATTTTTCACTTCCTGGCAAGACTCCCAAGCTGACTCTAACCTTGGAATTAGCCAACGAGTCCCCCATTTATTTCAGTCACGAAAACTAATGTTTTCCACCACCCCTTCCACCCGCAGCCTCCAGAGATTTTCCAACTGGATTGTTTCACTTTCTCTTTTGGCGCAAGGTGGCATTTGTAGCTGCTTCAACTGCCTTTTCTAGAGCCTCAGTTAGCTGGAGACATCAGCATGTATTTTACCTAAATACACTGGGCCTGATTCTGATCTCACAGCAGCAACAATCAGTGTAAATCTACACGGGTCTAAAACTAACCTAAGAGATCTGACTCAGGCTCTCCGTATTCAGATAATTTGTTTGAGGGAACTAGCAAGTCCAAATATCAAACTGCACAACACAAATATCAGCTGATCAAGGACAAACCCTTGTTTAGAGGGAAGTCACTAAACATTTACATTGGGAATCTGGTGAAATTTATAATCCCAAGAGTTGAATTGCCAGGAGCAAAAAGGGGTGTTTTTAATGAATGGATTTACTCTGCAATCTGACTTTGATTAAATGTTTCTTTAGATGTATTTATGGCTAGAAAGTGTGACTGCAGCAGCTGCAGGCACAGAATAGGGGTTTATATTTTTTAAAATATTTTTAATGAAAAAGTAACCAGTTCATCCTCATGAAAGATTCTAGCCCTGGAGACTCGAGGCTTCTGTTTCCCATAGAACCACAAACTTCCCCACATTGCCCCTTCAAGGAGACTCCATGCTCCCCTTGGATGATGATTTCTTGGGATGAGAGTGTCCAACAATCAACATGACCACCCAATCCTTGGTCTGGGTGGAGAAGTGGGAAAGAAGAGCAGGTGTCATGATTGTACAGGCAGATGACAGAGCCCATGTAACAGAGTTCAGTTTTATTAACACTAGTTGTTTGGATTAGTCAGTTACCAGACACTGGAATGCCTGTTCTTCCCCAAGGCAAATCCAAAGCCACTGATGTACAAAAGCTACTGTACAGGTGGCTAGATATACCCTAGATATGTCCTTGATCTACTCTCATTGCTCTAGAGTCTTGAGCATCCCTACGTGTAAGCCTCTCCTACCCACCAAAGGCAAATCCTTGTCCCATAGCCAGATCCTTCCACTGGTTGTGGAAATGAAGGGTATTGTCTCATCTCAAACCTTCACCCAAACCAACTATCAAAGTGAGTCATGGACATGAAAAGGTGAATTATGATGTTGACCACCCTCCTGTCTAATGACTACCGTACCTCTGAAATTGAGGGCAGGTGCAGGCTGGAAAATGAATTAGCATCTATTGAAAATCTTTTAGCTATTAGTGTTGGCTGCCTATTCTTTGTGTTAGAAAAGCATTAACTGCTTGCCAACTCTGTGAGTCTTGATCTGGGGATTTGTGTTATAGCCTCTAATGAGGGTGCAGAGTTGGGATGCTTCCTCATCTCCTTGGATGGATTATTTTGCATCAAGATCACACTGAGATCTTTGATTTACCAAAGGACAGGGAAGCATTTGCTTTGGGATTGTTTGTATTAATCTTGCCCTGTTAAGAACTCTCAAACCTTCTTTGCACTATAGATACATTCTTTTCCCATGAACCATATTGGGGAACTCCTAGCTCTCATATCAGAAACACTAACAGTAAATAATGCAGGCTAGTAACTGGTGAGCATCCTAAACCCTCCTCTCTTTTATAGTTGCATTTTACCTGAGCTTCTGCCTTTATTTCTTCATATTCCACCTTCATCTTCTTCTGGACATCCTCATCGACACTCGGGTCACCTATCCTGTTAAACAAGGAAGCAGCTTCCTCCAGCAGCCTTTCCAGCAGGACTGACTGATTTAGGACATCGTTCAGCAGAACCTGGGAGTGGCTCAGCTGCCATTGCTTCTCCTTTAAACCGAGCTGCAGCTCTATGTCAGGCTCCAAGGTAACCTTCATGTTATGAATCCAGGCGTAAAACTCATCCTGGGCTTTCAAGTATTCACTCCAGTGCAGCCACACCCATTCGATACGGCTGTTGGGGAAAGTGACAAACAAGATACATGAGGTTCTCCCAGGACCAGTGAAGAGGGTGGGGAGTGCAAGATGCTTTAAAAAATATTGGCAATAAAGAATCAGATTCTCAGACAGGATAAATCAGCCTAGCTTCATTGACTTCAGAGCGTCACAATCCACTTCCCAGCTCCCGCCGGCTGTGGGAAGGAGTACCCTGTGCTAGCCCTGTGCCTGGCAAAGATTATTTCTCAGGTCACTGGACTGGCATATTGTGGGTAGATGTAGAGCCAAGGTTTCACCTACTCTCTGCTCCTTTCCAACATATGCATGGGAACCCAGTGAAGGCTCCTCTCTCCCCCCCACAATACAGATAGCCAGAGTGGGGAGTAAGGCGGCATTGTCTGAGAGCATTAGACAATATGTCAAATAGAGTATTTGTGAACAGCATGTGTCCTACCTGTGGCAATGAGTAATGTAGATGGCTGTTTCTTCCCACATGGCTTTAATGTCTTTCAGTTTGGATAGTATCTCATGCTTTTCCTCCTCGCTGATGCAGCGAAGAAGGGCATCTGCTTTCATCAGGACCAAATCCATTTTCAATCGACCTTCTGGCTCCAATGCACAAATTTTCTATTAGAAAACACAAAACTGAAAACATTAAAAAAAAGAGAGCCTGCCAGTGTAGTTATTGAATTAGAACTTTGTGTTTATATGGAAATCATTACATCCCTGCTGGAAAACGCCTACAACATTTAATAGAAATAAAAACTTTCCTACTGTTTTTTTCAGTATTCTTACAGAATTTAATTAATAGAGAAATATATCCCTGTTGTAAAATAGTTACCACCACCAACAGAAAGTAGATCATTCTCTGTTAACTTCTGTAGGTTTTCACGGTAATTTCTACACAAACCCTGTTGGGTTTGTACCTATTAAGTTCTATAGGACTTGCCTGTAACAGCAGTGTCTCCACTACTGCTACAGATCTATTGCACTACATAACCACATGACGTCTAATTCACTTTCTTGGAATAAGTGCAGAGGAGACACTATACATGGGAAACATTGAGCAAAGCCAGTATTGTAAGTTGCACTAGAACATGCCATGGGATCTGCACAAAAAAGCACTTTGTTGCAAATCATAGAAGACACACTTTGAGCCACCCTATAAAAAGATTAGAGAATGATATTTCTGCTATTAAATTCTATTTCTCCACAAAAACATGTTGTGTATCAGTTAAGGCTCTGGCACATACATGCATACCTAACACAAAACCTACAAGCAAGGAAATGAAAGTTAAGCCATCTAACATTATGTATCTTCTACTCTTCCACCCAGAGACAAACCTAACCCCTAGTACAACCACCCCACACCACACACACCACCTTAATTCTGTCCTAGTAGTGTTGTCAGCCTTCCAGCATCACCTTCCCACTATCACGCAGACCACTAGACTTCCTTTCCCTCCTGCTCCTCTGCACAGTTCTGGGAAACCACACTCATTCAAGTTGGGGGAAGGGGTGCCAAAAGGAAAATGTTGAGACACTCAAAATCTGAGGTCACTTTTGAAAATTTAGGTCTAAGTGATTTGCCCAGAGTGATTTGCCTTATTACCCATAAATACATCATTTGATTATTTACTTGTAAAAAAAAACCCAAAAAAACAGAGCACAGGGGACAATATAAACCACACCCAGCAAACAATAGAAAGATTCAAAACCAAAACTTAGTCCAGGCTTCAGTCTTATTCCTGCTTGAAGTGACATGAAAGCAAATGAGCCCACGATTGAGAAAGCTGTGGTTGGAGCTGGCATTTTTTTTAACGACTGCTTTCTTTGGCTGGCATTTTCGTTAGCAAATTAACAGAAAATAAATCATAGTGAGGAAGCCTGAATAAATGCAAGCCAACTGGGAAAGAGGCACTTGGAATGGATGTTTTTATTTAAAAAAAGGCAATGAGTGAAAGAATGAGCAGGCCAGACGGCGATATCAGCTGGGTGGCAGAGGAGGAAGAGGGGAAAGAAAGGTAGAACTAATGAAGAGCCACTTGCTTTTTGTTTAATAATAATGATGGATTTCCAATATCCAGATTGAAAAAGCTACTATAACAAGGATTTTCTATGCATTATGACCCTGTTCCAAAGTCCAACAAAGGCATCAGCTTTAGATCAGCCCAGGTAAAATCATCACAAACCACATAATCTTCATTCTTGTGATCTGTAATGTTGACAGAACCCCTTGATAAACTGTGTCCCACAGCACTGACTTTCCTGAATTCTCTGAATGCATTACGATGTTGTCTGTATCAACATTCCTTATGCAAAAGGTAAGGGCTGTGCTCATCCGAAAGCAGAAACAAATCCACAATCCCAAATGAAATAGGAATTTCCAGCCTTTGTGACTGCTATGCAAGTCGGCCCATCACCACCAGCTCGCGGATGAGTGTCTATGCTAGGCCTGGTACATGCTCCAACCCACAATGAACCCCATTTGAAAAAATGGCCCTGAAAATACTGCAATGCCAATATTTAAACCACCCCACCAGGAGTGCCATTTTTCAGTGCTAGTCATCCCAGCTCAAAAACAGAGGGAGTTCAAAGATGTGGGGGCAAACATGACTAGATACACAGAAAGATGTTCATCTGAAGAGAAACAGAGAAGGCTGTTTCATTTAGAGAACAGGCCTATCACAGGGAAATATGAGAGATGTATAGAAAATAAGCTAGTGCGATGGGGTATACAAACCCCACACCGGGGAACACAGGGTTAATGAGCTATTGTGGGGTCAGTTGGCCCTGCCTTGCCACACCTGAGAGAGATGTCAGACTTGAAGGGAGGATTTTAAAACGGTAAAACACAGCACAGCTAGTGGCAGAGCAGACCTTGTGGGAACTCCTCAGATCAGTGCGGCCCAACAGCCAATCTCTGATGGAAGGGACGACCCGATGCTGATCCACTTTTGCTGGGACTGTTCTTCCATGTTAGCCTGTGAGCCTCGTCGGGGCCACAGAAGCTTTACAGAAGCCTTCAGAAGAAAGAGCCTTACCACACCTGTGGGACAATCCATTTGTGTTCATTCTTTTTGCAATCCTGAAAGGAGCAGCCTGCCCAGGGCTCAGCCAGAGAAAACTTGTTTTTGTACATGGAGTACCTCTTATGACTAGACTGGCACAGTGGAACACTCAGGTGTCTCAGAGCAGAGGCCCAAGTAAGTGCAAAGGCCCAGCCTGAGGGTGCCCTGGGGAAGGATGCAGTGATACTAGTCTCAACCTACTGCCCCACTATAATAATGAATGGTACAGCTGGGGTAGATAGGAGCAGCCAGTTTTCTCAGTGTACAAAAACAAGGGATATCGAATGAAATTGGAAGGCAACACAATTAAAATGGATAAAAGGAAACACTATTTTTTAAACACACAAGGCATAATTCATCTGCCACCAGATCTGAGGACAAGAGATTAACGGGATTATACAAAATATTATGTATCTATGTAGATAATGCGCAGATTCACAGTTCCATTAAAAGGATGAGAGCTATAAACCCACTAACTGACAGGGTTTAGGAAGAAACTTGCCCTACAGACAGATTATTCCCTAACTGTTCATCCCTGGGATTCCGGTACCTTTCTCAATAGCATCTGGTGTTATCCAGGGATTCTCAGAACCCAAAGCAGTGATAACTTACTGTCTCTCTCTAGGTAGGGTCAGGAATAAATCAATACACACACACACACACACACACACTTACTTCAAAACAAGTATATTTACCTACAGTTAAGAAATGATTTTGAGGAATCAGTGGCCAGCCTCCCAGGGGCCCCCGCCTTCCAGCTAGCTGCTGGGGAACTTAGCTGTCAGATCCGAGCCCAAAAGAAAGCTTCCTTGAAATGTTCCAAAGCATATTCTTTCACCTAATCTTTTATAGCTAAACTTCAAAGCACACAACCTATAGTGACTCCTAGTGGGTCACCAATTCTCCTAATTTCAGCAAAACTACTCGTTATCTCTTATCATCAAAACATTTCTAGTCATAACAATGTGTCTGGGGCACATAAAACCTAGGTCACTATTCACTCACTCTCTTCCACACTTGTTAACTTTCTGCTCCATCCTCCCATTCTGATTATAAAACTGCAAGTATGCAGCTGTCTTACCTTGCCTCATAAAGGCCAAAGATTTTCCTAGCTATGTGATGTTTGGATTTCAGCTGGCAGTGGCTGAATATACAAAACTGCTGACTGCGGCATTATCAAATTCTGGGGTAACAACGGTATTGTCCCGTCAGAGACGTGGGATGAGATGGGCTACTGGTCTCATCTGGTAGCATCGTTTCCTGCACTGCATTGGGTGGTTGCAAACCCCAGTCTTGTGATTGCGAAAAGCAACTAAACTTCCACTTTAGCATGCACAAATGAATGAGTGCTGGGAACAGCAGCTGAGATAGTTTGGTAAATCAGGATTGCTCTTAGTCTTCCAAATACACATGAAAAGTCTGGAAGCATCTAATCTAACAGCAGGATGCAAACCTCCCTGCCCCCATCCCTCCACACACATTCTATTTCCTTTTTTTATGACAGCAATAAGTGGCTTGCAAAAGAAGAAGCTGGAGAGAATGCTAAAGTGATCCTGCCCAAATGGGAGCAACCTTACAGCTAGTGAGGTTATTTTCATGCTCTATCCAGGGCCGGCGCAACCCATTAGGCGACCTAGGCGGTCGCCTAGGGCGCTACAATTTGGGGGATGGCGACCGCAGCGGTATTTCGGCGGCGGGACCTTCCGCCACCTCTGTGGGGGGCGGCATTTCGGGGAGGGACCTTCCGCCACCTAGGGCGGCAGAAAAGCTGGCGGCGCTCCTGGCCCTATCCCACCTTGATCGTCTCCTAATGGAAACTTCTCCATGACTCCTGGCAGTCCCTGCAGTGCCAATGCCACTTGTGAATATGTCTCTCAGAAAGGAGTATCAGTCTTCCCCTACCTCAGTCTCTCTTAGCCTGGCTTCCAGGGCAGACCGAGGTCCCTTGGTGTTGTCATTGATCCTCAGTCTCTCCTGGATGGCTTTCATCCAAGCTTCTGCATTCTCCACACTTGTGTCAAATTCATCCTGGGGCTGCTGAGTCATTGCATTAGAGGAAACTGAAAAGATAAAGAAATGAGGAATTAAAAACAAACAAACAATTCTTTTATCAGGAAAGTCTCTCACAGTCTTAAGCAGCAGGGAAAAAAGGAAAATTACTTTACTGATCTCTTTTTGATTAATGGCATCAAAATCCACAACCCACCGTAGTCCTAAATCTCTATGTGAGACTCAACAGAGGGGAGTATGGAATAAAAGCTCAAACTCAGAGCTCCTAAAATGAAAGTATACAAGGGAACAAGATGAAGTTGGGACACTCCTTTAAGCTCTGTGATTTGGGCTGACATTCAAAGGGATAAGAGTCACTGCATTTATTTGAAAACCAAATTAGGTTAATTTGGTGCTTGTGAAATGTACCAGACTGAACACTAACATCCTTTGTGTTTTCACAGGACATGCACAGCACAGGCAGCGGGAATATAAATATGTCCATCAACATGACTCTCTCTAAGCCCATTTAGGGCTCAGCCCTGCAAGGTACAGAGCACCTGGCTCTGACCTAGCCAAGCACTTGAGTGTGTGCTTAACTTTAAACATGAATTGTCTCAATGAAGTTGGCCAGATCAAACCAAAATACTCAGCACCTTGCAGTTAATCCACTCTGCTGAAACTTCTAAGGAGGCTGACAATCAGAGCAAGTTGTGGTGATGGTTTTGTGATACGGACCCCATTCCTGCAGGAACCGGGCTGAGACAGCTAACACAGATCACTAGTCAGTCATCAGATGGGAACATCTTTCAGTGCCTATGCACTTTGGGTGGATTTGAACTGGGGACTTATAGATAAAAGGCCCAGTGGACCAGATCCAAAGTCAGTATAAAGAGGCTCCTGGAGTTCAATGGGTTTTTGATCAAGCCCTACACCCACTGCCAATGCCTGCCAGCCAGTTTCTCCTTAATGAAAATGTCACGCTTATTTGTTATCCACAATTGAATGTCTTTCTTTAAAGGTCTAGAGATAATTACTGAGGCCCCATTTTTGCCACATTACTCTGACCAAGTAGTACTTTACTCTGGAAGCGTTCCCACTGATTTCCATGGGACTGCTCCCACGCAGTCCAGTACTGCGCAACGTGAGCAGGGGAAGGCAGAGTATGGCCCTTGGTGAATCCAGCCCAGGATTTCTGATTACATCTTGAAATTGGAAGACACCCTGATCATAACCACTGGGGGTGGGGTGACCTGTTTATGTCCCCATCCCCCACTTTCACTACACACCCCCACTCCTCCCCTAGCTTTTCATTAGCCTGCTGCTATTCCTCTCAGTGTGGTGGCAGGGCATGCGCATTCTCACACGCTTGTCACAGCTGCAGCATCACCCTGAATCAGGGGCCAAATGTGCATTCCTCTGTGCCCATGGGGGTAGCTGTGCTGGAGAGGGGATTCTCCTTAGGCAAGGGAGCAATACTGCTACTACCCTCCACTGCGGGTAGAGCCCACAAAGGCAAAGGCTTCCCAGGGGAGACACCGACTCGCTCCATTTCCCAGACAGCCTGAGCCACGTATACCTTTGGTAGTTGTGGCGGCTGGGTCCAAGCCCCACAATGAAGCAGGGGATGTGGATGGGTTGGGCTGCTACTCTCTTACTTCTACTGGGCCCGGTTTGACAAGCTGACTTACCTAGCAGACAAGGTTCACATAAGGACTGGGTGTGCCACTGCTCAGCGGGGGCGGTGGAAGGATTGTGTGTGGGAAGGATTTGGCCTGCCTAGGAAGCCTCTAGGAAAGGAAATGGGTAGTCCTAGGTTGCACAAACCCTCCTATGACAGAACCAGGAGTGAACTCATTCTCAAGGTGCAGGCCAATCACCAAACCAATTTGGAAAATCAAACCTAGCTCTCGGAGAAACAGTTTAAGAAATATTTGGCAGCAAGACTGGACAACAAATGGTCCTATCTTATATATGTTCTATGAGTTGTCCAAACCATCTGGCCACACATGAAGGAGGACTTGTGGGCTTCAATGAGGACTGAGGCACTGCTCATGCTACTCTGGATAGTTTAGTTTGAGGGATGAGCCAGAGGCACAGTACTACAGATACTTGGGTCTGGTGTGGCTGGAACAACCTCCCATCTGAGATCTATAGAGGTGTCTCTTAGAACCGTTTTTGTATAAAGATTCTAATTTATTTATGTATTAATTTATAAAGCACATTGATAATGAAGAAATCTGTGACAGCATATGCGAGTAATAATTAATCATAAGAAATAAAGGTGTAAATAACAAAGCACTGAACAAAGCAGTCACCCCCTGTGGGACAGGCAAAAGAGAGGAGAATATTCCAAGATACTGAGAGATAGTCTATCTGGCTAACGCAGGCCAGCTTCTCAAATATATCCAGGGGTTATAAAAAGTATTTGAGGGCTGAATCTGAGTAATTTGGTAAGTGGAAAATATTAGAGATGGCCAAGACCGGACCCATTTAGCTGATCCACTTTTCCCATCCCTACCTCGCCCCTCCCCACAGCTCTGACCTCATCTCTTCCCCTCCAAAAAAACAAACGTTGGCCACTTAAATAAATAGGGATCGGGTCAGAAACAACCCTGATTTTACCAATAAAATACTGACCCAGATACTGAGCTGTGGCTAAGTTCTGCTCAGCACAGCTCAGGACAAAGGATGCAAAGGTAGCTTAATCACACATGTGCACCCGCATGGCCATGGACCTACCGGGCTGTCAGTCCAGTCCCTTGTATAAATTAGAGCAGCCAGAGGCACCGTTCTGACCGCAGGGGATCATTGCATGATAGGGATGCCTGGCTGTGCTCTTATTTCCCTGGCCATACCGCTGCACAACCGCCAGAATGGTGCTGGTGTAGGAGCTGTTCTACATCACCTGAATAATCCCTTGTCTCAGGGATTCAGTGGCAGGCTCAGCTGGGTTTAGGGTCAGAGCAGCACCTGCCAAGATTGGTGTAGGCATACCTGCTTCTGTCTCAGAACGGGGGGTGGACAAGATGACCTCTCAAACCCCTTCCAGCCCTACATTTCTATGAAGCCAGCTTTCATGTACCAGAGGATCTGGCCCTTTATCTTCATCGCGTTCTCTGAATTTCCTGAAGTACTTTTTTTTTGTTAAATTTATGCATCCAGTTTAACTATCTTTCAAATAGGTTTAACAGCCCTCATCGGGTATTGTGAGGTTTAATAAGTTAGTGTTTGTAAAGCACTACTGAGATCCTTCAAAGTCACTCTAAGTGCAATGTATTTTTGGCAATATTATCATTATTTTTCCAAGTTTCCCAATATACATTTTTTCTCCCTGCAAAGCCATTCCGCTTTTCCTAATGTAACACATTTTTCACAATCGATCCCTTTCTTAAACATACTTTTAAACCAAACATTTATAGTGCACTGGCTTTTAAATGGTTTCAGTATGTCTTGAATTCCTGTGCTCATGTACTACTTGACTCACTTCCAGAACCAAGCTCTCCGAGAAATAAAAAGAGAGGGAAGGAAAAGTGCTCCAGGAAAGTTAAATCACTCGCCATTAGGGACAGTATTTTCCAATTATTGAAATACTTCAAGCTTTTCATAACTCTTTCCATTTGGAAGAGATCAGGATTCTGGGTTTGCACATGAGAAGTGTTTTTAAAACACTGCAGTGTGTCAAATTTTATACAAACACACAAGTGTGGAAGCTATTGTGGGAATTGTTTGGTACTTGGGTCCTGGGGTAATTTAATAACTGCTCAGCTGCCCTGGATAGTGTAAGGAGAGTTCCGAGAGAGAGAGACAGTTGTATAGGAGCACAAGTCTTTCGAAGTGGAGATGGAATTAGCATATACTACTGTAGAAGCGACACATCAATCTCCACGATTCCAAAGCTGAGAGTTCTTGGCATACTAATAATTCTACAGCTCTCAGTCATGCTATTATTAGCACATACATCCCTAGATAAGGGACTAGATTACTTCAGTGGGAATCATACCCACAGCACAGCTAAATTCGGTCCAGTTTGAGTAAGTGGAGAAACTCTTGAAATTCTAGTAAGCATTAGCTGTATCCCCAGCAATCTGAAGCTTCACCATTTTGGGGGGTTCAGGACATTAACCTTAGCACCTTGAACATCTTCCAAGGCAGTTTTTTCTTGTACTATTTGTGGTGAATGTTTATGACCATCAGGAATTGTTTGTCCAAACTAATGTACTGAAGAATAAACACATGCTAGGTGTTCTTGGAACAATCACTTTCATTTCCTGCTTAAAGTTAATGGCTATAGCCAAGTGGTTGTCACACGGGTGGCAGGGTGTAGAGCATTTACTTGCAGCGCTGCCATTTCCTTTCCTCTCCAAACAATATCCACTCTCAAGGGAAACCCATAGCTACTTGACAAACCCAACTGCCACCACGTGATCACAACAACTACTTTTCGGCTTAACTGACACCTACCACGTGTCACTGAACATCAGAATGATAACACAATTTGTTGGGTCTGTTCACCAGCTTATAGCGAAGCTAATTCTTTCCAGCACACAGATCTGTTTTAGGCTTGGTCTACATTAGAAAATAAGGTCAGTTTAACTACATTGGCCAAGGGTGTGAAAAAGCCACACCCCTGAGCAGCATAGTTAAACTGACCAAAGTCCCAGTGTAGACAGTACGAGGTCACAATGGAAGAATTCTTCCATCAACCTAGCTACTGCATCTCAGGAAGGTGGATTATCTAACTGAATCCCTCTTGTTGTCATAGGTAGCAGCTACACTCAAGTGCTGCAGCTGTGCCGCTGTTGTGTTTTAAGTGTAGACAAGCCCTTAAACTCCAGTGGGAATAAAATATAAATGTAATTAATAAGATTGGGACTTTTCAGCTTGGAAAAGAGACAACTAAGGGGGGATCTGATAAAGGCCTATAAAATCATGACGGGTGTGGAGAAAGTAGATAAGGAAGTGTTATTTACTCCTTCTCATAACACAAGAACTAGGGGTCACCAAATGAAATGAATGGGCAGAAGGTTTAAAACAAACAAAAGGAAGTATTTCTTCACACAACGCACAGTCAGTCAATCAGTGGAACTCTTTGCCAGAGGATGTTGTGAAGGCCAAGACTATAATAGGGTTCAAAAAAGAACTAGATACATGCACCGAGGATAGGTCCATCAATGGCTATTAGCCAGGATGGGCAGGGATGGTGTTCCTAGCCTCGGTTTTACCAGAAGCTGGAAATGGGCGACAGGGGATGGATCACTTGATGATTACCTGTTCTGTTCATTCCCTCTGGGGCACTTGGCATTGGCCACTGTCGGAAGACAGGATACTGAGTTAGGTGGACCTTTAGTCTGACCCAGTATGGCCGTTCTTATATAATATCCCTTCACTTTATAAACCTACGTTTACACTTCCATAACTTCCAGTTCTAAGAAGCTATTTGCAAAAGTGTGGACCAATAATTCTCCTCTAAAAGGAAGCTGGACTTGTAAATAAATCAGAGCTGAGCTCCAGGGTTACTCCCTTTTCACTTCAGGGGTGGCAACCAGCAGAACTGGATGGAAGTTTTTAAAATTTTGACATTTTAAATCTTCAAAATTTCAAAGTTTTAATTTTTTGGGGGGGGGAGAAGATGCTTTTCCTTTTAATTGCAAAATCTCCCACTCCCTTTTATTCTGCCACCTCGCTCTAGTAGACATTATCCTGCTGTAATTCAGCCAGATTAGTAAAATGCTGGGGTAAGTAAGGGCACTTCTAAGTTATTTTTATGACCAGTGAAATACTATACAATATCTATCTTAGGTATTTATATGGCCCCCATCATCACAGGATCTGAGTCCCTCACAATCTTTAACGTAGATATCCTCACAACATCCCTGTGAGGTAAGGCAGTGCTATCATCTCCATTCAGCAGATGGGGAACTTGTTATAATATGTATAACAAACAGCCACCAGGGGGAGCAGGCAGATAATCAGATAACGAAATGTGTGGCTGTTCCAGGTTGTGGTAGGTGCGTTGTTGGAAACTGCTGGAACTGTGGGTCTGTGGAGCTATTGCAAAGTTATATACTTGTTGCCTGAATAAACAGACAGTCAATACTCAAAGAAGCTGGAGTGCATACAGCTTACAATACAACAGAACTGAGGCACCAAAAGGCTAGGTGACTTGCCCAAATCACACAGCAAGTCTGTAGCAGAACTGGGAGTTGCACCCAGGTCTCCCAAGTCCTAGACTAGTGCTCTCATCCCTGGACCATCATTCCCCTAATATGCTAGTAGGGAATCCTCAGAACTAAGTGTATCTTCTCCTTCTGCAATTGCCAGTAAAAGGTAACTAGTAGCCTACCTGCAACCTTCAGATTGTGAACTCGGAACCCCTCCTGGTGAAACTGTCCGGACTAGATTTCCAATTTCTGCTCAGCTCCCTAAAAGAAGAGGTACACCATCAGTCAGCCAAGGGAAAAGCACTGCAAGCCAAGCACATTAGAATCATAGCCCCTGGGGCTTGGATTTATGTAATTAATTAAATCCCACCTGTCTGCTAAAGATTGCAGGTCCTCCCAGTTCACACCTGGGTGCCATGCAAGGGTACTGATAATATTGACCAATAATGTTCTACAGCATCTCGGTCTTGGCTGGGACTGGAACTGCAGCTGTGTGAACAATTTTTAGTGAATAACGTATCTGATAAATTTCACCCCTTTTGCTGGTCACACCTTGCATGTGAACAATCTATGATTTTCTCACATGTGTGTGCTATTCAAAATTATTTTCCAAATAAATTCTGCAAATTATTCTTGCTCAGCAGATTGTTCTAACAGTTCATTGGGAACACCCAATACTCCAGTTGTGCTGATTAGTTTTAATTAGACCCAAAGGTAATATGGTAATCATGGTTTCTGTCCTCTGACTGGATGAGAGTAACTCTTATTATTAATGTACAAGTACACCTCTACCTCGATATAACGTGACCCGATATAACACGAATTCGGATATAACGCGGTAAAGCAGTGCTCGGGGGGGGGGGGGGGGGGGCTGTGCACTCTGGTGGATCAAAGCAAGTTCAATATAATGTGGTTTCACCTATAACGCAGTAAGATTTTTTGGCTCCCGAGGACAGCGTTATATCGAGGTAGAGTTGTATTTATTATTTGTACTGCAGTAACGCCTAGTATCCCAGGCCCCCATTGTGCTAGACCCTGTACAAAGAGAATAACTTACACAGCACCCTACAATGAGCCTGGACGCTTTACGGAACAAATAAGATAAACCCCCTGCCCTGAGGAGCTTATAATCTAAGTACCAGACCAGACTGAACAAGTGAAAGCAGCAAAATAAAGTGCCTGTAAGTATGGGGATAAGAAATGATGGACAGAGGAAGGGGCAACAAGGCTTACACAGACACATATATTGCCGTGAACATGCCCTGACGATTCTAATACACATCTCACAGCTCATCTTCCTCACTTGGAGCCAGAACCACTCATCCATAGGAGGGGCTAGACATTTCAGAATCTAGAAATATGCCTGAAGTCACCAAGTTCAGATCCTTATCCGATCCAAATGTTCTCAATGTTTGAGTGTTTGGAACTGGGACTTTTTGCTTCAGATCGATCTTTTTAAAAGAACTGACTTTGAACCTGATATGCTAACTGCCTATCTCTGATAGGTGATGGGGAGCACTCAGCACACAACTCTGAAATCATTGGCCCTTGTAGGTAACCTTCAAGTATATATTAGAAATATGAACATTTACAACTACTAAACGAGTGTTCAGAACTTATATGTCAGACCTTTCCCCCTTTAAAAAACAAAAACTTGGAAAAAAAATTTAAGTCCTAATTTTTGCAAATCTTAAAAAACCCTTCATCTTCATGGAAATGAAACTGGCAAAGTTTGCCATTGTTAGGTTTTTAATTATTTTTAAGTTAAAATTAAAATTTAGGTCTGTGGGAATGACTGTCTTATGGAAGAGGGAGTTTGCAAACACAGTCCTATTCTAAACACTGCATTCAATGCTTAAAATAATTGTGTGATCTCTAGAGGATCAAAGCTCATGATCAGAAATACAGGAACATGCTTTTATTTACACCACCCAGTGACGTTTTTTTGAGAAGAGTACATAACTGCTCCAGGGCCTAAAACATTGGAACCCTCTCAAGAGCACATACTCCAGGCTAAGTAAAGTTGCGTGTAGATAATCCAATAATTCAGACATTATTCATAACAATATCTGCCTTGAACTGATGCCAGGGCTTTCTGTTGCAAAAATGGCATCGCTTTGTGTTCAAACAAACCCAAACTCTAGAGGAAACTAAGCCTTGCCTACATCCCAGGTGCAGTAAATTATTGAAGCCGACAGCAACCTTATCCCCAAGCTCTTTCTTCAGAAACTGAACAGTCCACTGCAAACCGTAAATAGCATCTAAATTAATTTTGAACGGTTGAGAACATTTCTGGAATTGAGTAAAATAGGCTGCCTTCCTGTGACTCATTTTTGCCTGAACTCTAGCAGTTTCCATAGCTTAGTCACCCTCCCACCGTGCCTATATGCCAGGCACTGTGGGTCAGTAACAGAGCAAGCATATGCTTTCAATCCCAAAGACTATTCCTATTAGCCATTGGAGTTTGCTGTTGTGCTCAGTTCCCCTAAGAGATTGTAACCCCAACACAAAGTTCTGTTACTGTGTAATCTGATACTTTTACCATCAGTGAATCCATTCTATATGAGAAGCAGCACTATCTTTTTCAGTAGAGCATTAACTAGGGTTGTAAACCTAACAAAGGATCCAATCCTGATCCCATTGAAGTCACTGTTGGTTTGCCATTGATTTCAGTAGCAGCAGGATTGACCCTAAAGTTTTGTGTCAGCAGTCCCTTTCCAGTGAAAATGTTCTTGGAGCTATTTTAAACTGGAGCTGTGATCACAGATAACTGCTGCTGCTGAGCAATGAAAGTAAAGCAAACATTTAACACTTCCTACTCCAGTGGAATTCAACTTTGCTAACCTTTTGGAAATATAATAATTTACATGTTAATAACTATACCCGGGATTTTCAGTCATAGCACCTAAAGGAGTTGGAATCTAACTGTTAGATGCTCAAATCCCATTGAATGTCAATGAGTATTAGGGCCCAGATCCTCACATTTAGATACCTTAATTCCCATTGAAATCAAAGCTGAAATTAATGGGAATTAGGAGCCTAAATACCTCTGAGGATCTGTGCCCAATTTCCTTAGGCTCCTTTGAAAACCCGGTGCTAAATATTATGGGGCAGATCCTCAGCAGCTAATTGTCAGGTCAATTGAAGTCAATGGAGCTGTAACAATTTACATCAGCTGAGGGTCCATCTATATACAGATATATCAATACACCCACGTTTGTATATGCAAAAAACAATTAAAGTTGCCGAGTGATGATAATGTCACATCATTCACAAATCTCAAGCACTTAAAAGTAAGGATATGGATAGTTAAGAATATCACAGATCTTATATATCCCACCAAAATATTTTTTCTTTATTACAGTAATGTATATTCCACCACAACACAACAATCTGAACTCTCACCCAAAAGAAGTAATAGTCTTTCACCAGTAATCTCAAAGCACAAACACAAAGCTCGTTAGAACACCATGTGAACATAGGTAACTTGGTTTTTTTTTCAAAAGGGTTTTGTGTTGTATCAACTATTCCCCACCACCGCCAACCCACAGAGTGTGACCCAGCAGTTATGCCCTGGCAACCCATATAAGATATGCACACCACAAACTGAGAAACACTGACCTAGAAAATAGGTAAACATCACCTTTAAGAAGGAAAATTTGAATATCATGTCTGTGGGGCAGTACTGCTGCTAACTGAAGTGGAACAGAGCCTGTGACAGACACTTCCTGCACAGGGCTCACTAAATGCAAATGGTGAAGCTATAGTCAAATTATGTTCTATATTTGCAAGTGTAATTAAGTTTCCTTAACCTTTTAACTTGCTCTATACACACAGGGCCATATCTTCCACAGTGGTCTGATAATACTGAACATAGGAGGTGCGGTGTATTGTCTGTTAAATTGGAAAAAGCTAGTGTTTACTATAGAGTTACACTATTTCATTGACATTTTCCTTGAGAAATACATTAACAACGTTCCAGCAAATCTAATCTAGAAAGAAAGTGGTAAGGTTTGCCTGCATATCACCTGCATGAAGGTCAGTAGAAGAAGTGTGTCAAAGCCAGAACTATTTATACAAACTTCCTCATCTTTAGGAGATCTCAGATCAAACGGGACTTGGATCTGAACTTCTGGTTTTCATTTTGCAGAAACAAACCCAAAGCTTGGTTCTGTCCATCTGGAATTATAAAGATCCTGTGACTTTAAGGTCAGACTATATAGCAAACCTAAGGAAAATTATCCACAGCTTCCAGGACTCCCGATTTAGCCAGGATTGTCCTAGGTTTTTAAACTCAATCCCCAGTCATTTCAGTCCTAGCTACTGTTCTAGGTCTGTAGTGTTGCTATGTCATGTATTCCTGAATCACAGCCTCCTCTGGCTGTTCAGCAGCACTGCCTATTGACTCCTGCTGGCTGCTTCTCATCTGCAACTCTCAGCCCTGCTACTGGAGGCTGGCACCAACTCATTAATACTTTTAAAGATTCTCTTTGAGTCTTATGTTAATATCAAGTGGTAAATGTAGAAGGATCATGTGGATAACAAAAAAATCTCTGACTGATTCCTAGGGATTCTGGAAAAATTATAGACAAAATTCTGTTCTGATTTCACCACCATTCCCCATTGGTTTCCGGTGCCCCAATCACAACCTAGCCTAAAGATTTACTTTGTTAGGAGTTGTGACATCAGTGCAGCATGGTGAAATAAATTAGGACATCTGAGTAAGAAGAAAAAGAGATGGGTTTCTTTTTAGTCATGATAGTCAGAGAACAGGATTTCCCCTTACTAAATGGGCATGGGTGGGAGACGAGAAGCCAGACTAGAGATCAATCTGACCAAAGAAAGGACAGCACACAGCATGATGCCACTGTTTAAGGTGAATAAGATTTAAATAGAGATAATCCCCAAGAAACTCTCTAGAGTTCAGGTCACCAACTAACTAGCTGGTTAACTCCTGTAGGGATTAATGTTTGAAATTATTATGTCTGACAGATGTTTGTAGAACAGGAATTAGCATATAATACCCTGTACTAAGAACAGTAAGAAGCAAAAGTGCAGCATGTTTACAATTAGAGCTGAGATTTCAGAAATCATTGGACACAGATGTAACTTTTGTTTGCCTGTCTTAAGTATTTTTCTGTTTCTTCTGCACTTTCCTGGCAGTAGATTTTTCTTCCCTGTACTGCTGAGAAGAATCTGATTGACATATTAGCCGACTGTGCCTCAGTTACAGCTCTACAATCCCAGGAACAGAGGGCAGA